AATGAACTAGTTTATAACACTATACTGCAGGCATTAGCTTTTTTCCCCCCTCTCCCACCAGAGTAATATCTTTCCTCTCATATTTTGGAGAGTAGATAATAAGCACACGGAACAACAAGTAAGCTCTCACATAGCCCTCAGACCTTTAAGGTCATTTGAAATGTTGCTGCTGTCTCTGGGCAAAACTGTTACGCAGGTATTAAAATATCCTGTGTAAAATCAGAGCTTGATCTTTAGAACACGCTGTATTCAGTGTAGCACAGAGAGGAGTGGATGAAAAAGGTAGGGAGAAAGAAACGAAGCAAGTACAGGACACGTGAACTCACTGCATTAACTGAGAATCATACAAGAATGGCATTCAGTCTATCATTGCGCAGGTTGTACAGTGAACTAGGACAATGGTGTCAGCTGTGCTTGAGTGGCACTGGTATAAAGAATGGATGACGTATGATTATGTGCTGAAACTCATAGGCTCTGCGGTAAATTAAATCTAACTAGAACTAATTTGAATTGCTGTGATACAGGTGAAGTATATTCACTCTTACACATTTGGATCTAAATGTGTTAAGAGCATATTATTGTGAAACACATTGGCATGGAGCTTTGTTTTCACATCCTCAATAAGCTGGGTATCAAAGATATTCATGCAGAAAGGATTTCATTTGAAATATTTTTCTTAGCAAACAGGCTTTTGGTCAGCAAACCTCTTGACTATGATAATGTGTGAGAAAAATACAAATATTTAAAACAGGGATTTATGAGTTTGGTGAAGGAATTTGCCCGCAAGTTAAAGCTTATGACCACAGTTGTAGCTTTACCCAACAAGACGTTTCCCTGTGGGAGCTATCAGTGTTTCTGTGGAGCCTTCAGGAGCTCGTCTCTCTGCATCAGAATACAGAGAAATGTGTTGCCTTAATACACACTTGTACATCAGGCCACATGCAAGTGTCCACACACTGCAGGAACACTGATGTTCAACTGCCACCTGGTGGTAAAAATCATACTGTACAGCAGACACAGACATTTCAAACACCACAGCTACTAATCAGAGTTAGGGAAACAATATTATAGCTGTAGTCTACCAAACGACAACCCACCCTACAATAAAAGGAAGTTAAACTACATCTTAACTACTCTCAAAAATCAGCTTGTCAAAGAAAGCTAGTTCCAGAAAGTAGTTGAACTGAATCCAAACTACATCGCAGGATGTCTCTGAATTGGGAATCACATACCGTTTCACAGAGGTATATCTTAAGTGGCATTGAGTAAAGTGTAGGTGTGCTTGATTTTGGGGACTAGGGCAGGCCACTCCTCTCAGAGGCAGCATGACTGAGTGTGAAGGAGAGGATAAGGAGCAATTGTTGGGATGGAGCCAGTGAAATGCTACACATCTAGGAAATCCATAGTATTCAACGGCAGACATCTTGGTTTAAGAGGTGTTTTAAGACAAATAGAAAGTGACTGCCATTAAATGACAACTGTGGCTGATGAGCTGCAGCAGTGTGCCATATTGTAGAGCAAAAAAGTGTCATGAGAATACTGTGCAGTTTGTAATTAATTACATAAACTACGTGAACCAGAGGAGTTAAGTACTGAAAAAGCTACTGAGATTCAAATGTAGTTAAACTGCTGCACCACTACTGCAGAATGTGGAAAAACTAGTAATTAAACTACAAGCAGTTAACGACTTCTCAACACTGCTAATCGAGCTCTCCAGTAGTGGAGGCAGCAGTTTATCTAGGAAAAAAACAAAAGAGTTGTAAGACTCAGGGATCAATCAAGTTTTTCTTTTGGTCTGTTCCCTTTGCCTCAAACTGTTCTACTGAAACAAAAGAAAGAGAAACACAAGTGGCTTAAAACTTTTATTTTATTCAGTGAAATGACAAAAGCACAAACAGTGGTTTAAAAAGTTTACTGATTCTTTAGGATCCAGAAATGTCTGTCCGAAATCCAATGTGTTTAATAAGGCAGGTACTGGTGCAAAAATCAATCTACAGTTATTACTTTGTACCCTTGTTTAAAGCACCCATGACTCCAGACTAACTTTTCCACTGGTGCAACCAACTTTCTCAGTTGGCCACACCATCACCTTTTGTTCTTTTTTTTCCTCCCTTTCGTTATTTAAATTTGCATTTTATAAAACATCAGATAACCTAAAAACAAATTGAAAATGCCCTTCTTTGGCTCTGATGCAGCTGCCTCTCTGACTGCAGTCAGTCACCACTCTGCAGCTTTGCTCAATGTCCTGTCCACAGCACCATCTGACTGGTTACCTGTCACCAGTAAAAGCCTATCAACACTGAAGGCCGCAGTGCCACAGACAGGCCATGAGATTGGAGCGGAGCTGTGTATCGACCATAAGGCAGCAGATATTGCAGAAGTTGTAATTTTTACAGAAGTTGCAAAAAGACCCAGTGTTTCCACTTGCAGTGGTCTGCCCACAGTCGCTTAATAGTAGTTAAAAACGCAGACCTGCCGATGCACATTCAACACACGTTAGACCCATTTATGAGTCAGCTGTTACTTTGTCATTGTTAGATACTTCAGTCTGCATCACATACTCGCATTAATGCAACCACGTGAAGTTTTAACTCACACACTAACAAAAATGTGATCTGATTGATCAGTCTAGGACCCTGACATCTGATATTTGAGGGTCTGCGGTCAAGCAGTGAATTCCACTGTTAACAAGGTTGCAGCTGAACATATCTCGTGTTTAGCTTTGACCTAGCAGGACCTTGTTACAGTAACTACTTCGTCAGGGGAGGTACTATTTGTACAGACTAGCTTGTAGAGAATCATGCTCATAGGTGTTAAACTACATCACTGCTTTTATTATTACTTAGGTACATGACTACCATGATATGAATTTCATGTCATATTGCCCAGGCCCGACTTTACCCAAATGCACACATTACTGAGCCTGGACCTACTGCCGGCTGACAGAATATGCAGATATTTAAGATGAGCTGTGGCCTCTGATGATGCAAGGCAATCACAAAAAGTGCAATCCCTTCAGAGGATTCCACAGACACTGTCAACCCATTCCAGTCACCTCTGCAAAACAGCCTCAGTAAAAGCCATTACTGTGATGTACGCGACTGCTCTGACTCAAAAGGATTACTGAACAGTTGGGTGCTATGACAAGGACGATCACTGATCTTATGTGATGCAGGGTGACCTTGAGTACCATGAAAGGTGCCATTAAATAAAAAATGCATTAGAATTATTAGACATACAGTACAGGCCAAAAGTTTGGACACACCTTCTCATTCAATGCGTTTTCTTTATTTTCATGACTATTTACATTGTAGATTCTCACTGAAGGCATCAAAACTATGAATGAACACATGTGGAGTTATGTACTTAACAAAAAAAGGTGAAATAACTGAAAACATGTTTTATATTCTAGTTTCTTCAAAATAGCCACCCTTTGCTCTGATTACTGCTTTGCACACTCTTGGCATTCTCTCCATGAGCTTCAAGAGGTAGTCACCTGAAATGGTTTTCCAACAGTCTTGAAGGAGTTCCCAGAGGTGTTTAGCACTTGTTGGCCCCTTTGCCTTCACTCTGCGGTCCAGCTCACCCCAAAACATCTCGATTGGGTTCAGGTCCGGTGACTGTGGAGGCCAGGTCATCTGCCGCAGCACTCCATCACTCTCCTTCTTGGTCAAATAGCCCTTACACAGCCTGGAGGTGTGTTTGGGGTCATTGTCCTGTTGAAAAATAAATGATCGTCCAACTAAACGCAAACCGGATGGGATGGCATGTCGCTGCAGGATGCTGTGGTAGCCATGCTGGTTCAGTGTGCCTTCAATTTTGAATAAATCCCCAACAGTGTCACCAGCAAAACACCCCCACACCATCACACCTCCTCCTCCATGCTTCACAGTGGGAACCAGGCATGTGGAATCCATCCGTTCACCTTTTCTGCGTCTCACAAAGACACGGCGGTTGGAACCAAAGATCTCAAATTTGGACTCATCAGACCAAAGCACAGATTTCCACTGGTCTAATGTCCATTCCTTGTGTTTCTTGGCCCAAACAAATCTCTTCTGCTTGTTGCCTCTCCTTAGCAGTGGTTTCCTAGCAGCTATTTGACCATGAAGGCCTGATTCGCGCAGTCTCCTCTTAACAGTTGTTCTAGAGATGGGTCTGCTGCTAGAACTCTGTGTGGCGTTCATCTGGTCTCTGATCTGAGCTGCTGTTAACTTGCGATTTCTGAGGCTGGTGACTCGGATGAACTTATCCTCAGAAGCAGAGGTGACTCTTGGTCTTCCTTTCCTGGGTCGGTCCTCATGTGTGCCAGTTTCGTTGTAGCGCTTGATGGTTTTTGCGACTCCACTTGGGGACACATTTAAAGTTTTTGCAATTTTCCGGACTGACTGACCTTCATTTCTTAAAGTAATGATGGCCACTCGTTTTTCTTTAGTTAGCTGATTGGTTCTTGCCATAATATGAATTTTAACAGTTGTCCAATAGGGCTGTCAGCTGTGTATTAACCTGACTTCTGCACAACACAACTGATGGTCCCAACCCCATTGATAAAGCAAGAAATTCCACTAATTAACCCTGATAAGGCACACCTGTGAAGTGGAAACCATTTCAGGTGACTACCTCTTGAAGCTCATGGAGAGAATGCCAAGAGTGTGCAAAGCAGTAATCAGAGCAAAGGGTGGCTATTTTGAAGAAACTAGAATATAAAACATGTTTTCAGTTATTTCACCTTTTTTGTTAAGTACATAACTCCACATGTGTTCATTCATAGTTTTGATGCCTTCAGTGAGAATCTACAATGTAAATAGTCATGAAAATAAAGAAAACGCATTGAATGAGAAGGTGTGTCCAAACTTTTGGCCTGTACTGTATATATGATGGAGTTTGTGCATATTTCCTGCACTGTGTGTCTGGGAGATGGTTTTTTGTGTGGTGACGACTGTATAGCCTAAATTTATTTAATGATTAATGAAACAAAACTAGACTTCCCATGTGTTGCTCACCAGTAATTAGCCCACAGTACAGCTGTGGAGCTGCATGAGGTCTTTCCAAGGTACACAGTGGCCATCGATGTTCATGCTGTGACTGACATGCAGCTGCAGCACTGTTGATGTTGCCGACTGTCACTTCTGACAAGCTGTTCTGGTCCAACATCAGTAAAATGAAAGAAAGGACAGATAGGCCTTTCTTTAGAGAACATACTGACAACAAGACTGAGTTGAAAGAGATTTCTCAATATTGCAAACAGTTTCTACAGTGGTTTTGTCTGTTTCACTTCAGAGTATAGCTCTATATTCAATTTGTTCCAACTCTAATAAAGTATGTCCTCACCTGTGTGAAAACCTGCATGCTGGTGTTCAGGTCCCCAGATAGAATCTGGGATAACACATAATGGAGGCAGGATTTGGGTCACAATGATGGACAGTATGATAGCCTAGAAAAGAGGAAAAAGTCATCACTGAGAGAGACAAAAATCATCTGATGTAATTTTCACATTACACCCAACGTTCCTGGGGTCATTGCTTATTTACCAAAACCTGATCGTAAATCACAGGAGACCCGCAGAGCTCTATCAGTCTGATGTTTGCTCTAACACCCCAGTTACAGTATACAGGACTGTTAAAACATATCATTACTTTGGACAATCCAATATCGATTCTCATCATGCTGATTCTTTCAAGTCTGTAGCTTGACACCGAACCTTAAAACTGCTACAGAAAGTCAGACCAATTTCAGTACATTACCAAAGGACACCCTAAACCGTCTGTATTATCTAATATAACCTTTCAGAATCTTGACAAAGTCATAACTCAATTCCCCTTTTTAAAATCTAAAAAAGTTCAGCACCAACAGCCTGCCCTACTAATAGTTACCACGAAGGTTTAAGGCCATATAGAATCCTTCAGTACAAGCACACATACTGGAAATGTGTTTCCCAGCGTCAGGTCAATTCAGGTCGGACTGCTGCAGCTCAAGGATCAAGGACAGGCAATGTGTGCAGCAGGTGGAGGTCCGGGCTGAACTTAGGTTGGGACCTGTGGCTGCTGCTGCGGGGCTAGCAGGGTTTTCTGGGCAGGAGTCTGCCTGCAGGGACAAAGGAGGGGGGAAAGACGACAGAAAGAGGACAAGGGAAATTTAAAAGTAGTGGCAATGATTAAGTTATAGAAGTAATCAGGACAAAATAAAAGAATGGCAAGAAAAAAAAAACGCTATCGTGGGCAGTTTTTGTTTTCCAAAAACTCTCAAGAGTCCAACAACCAAGTGGGCCACTGATCACAGCCGGCCCTCAGCTTTAAGTGGGTCAATAGTGACCAACAGAGCTGTTAAATGATGAATCGAGATGTACCAAGTTATTAACACAGTAGGAAACAAGCTACTGTGCTGGAAAGACATCACAGCCTGTGCTGCCTCGGTAAAAAAGCCGTCACATTATTTTGACATGACATGGCCACATAACAAAGCCACAAAGGCCTTAACTTTTGGTGTATGTGTTTAGTGAGCATATTTTGGAATGAATATAGTCCCATCTCGAATCCCTTTTACACAGCCTGTTCAAGGAGGACATGTTACACCTCTATTTCCTCTCGCTATTCTAAATAAAAAGGTATGAGGATGTAATGGTGGGACAGAGTTGTTCTGCTGTTAAGGTAGTAACAGAGCCAAATTGATGTCTATGTTAAACAGACCACTGGCATGGCGGGACTACACACACACTGGGCCAGGGAGTGATGCCAGCAGCTATGTAAAATCACACACTGAGTGAGTATTACGTCGGCGTTGGTTGGTTCAGTGTAAAAAAGCAAAGCTGGCATAATGGCGGATCTTCTTTATGGCAGTATTGCTGAATCTCTGTTTAAAAAGGCTTTGGGGATAATGTACCCAGGTCTCTCAATACATCCTATAGTTTGCCAAGGATCAGTTTCTGGTATAGACCCAGAAAGGTGAAGCTCTGGCAATTTCCTCCTCCATTAAAGAAGCACTGCCATATTCTTGGCTGAATGCTGCAACATACTCATAACACTAACAGTTGGGGACAAAATTACTCTACATGAATTGTGCTAAGTTTTGGAATGAGGCCACAGCTGCTCTGATTGCAAAAGAAAAAACACCAAAGTACAGGCTTTTGGAGAATAAACTTGTTTTAAAAGAGCCAGGAGGGCACTAACTTCCACCAACTGCTTTCAGAAGGACTTTGTTAAAGGATTAAGGAACTGTTTAAACAATATTACAGTTTTACAAAAATTAACAGAATAAACAGTTTGGTTCACTTGTGTGAAATATAAGAGCTGCAAAAATCTCCAAGTGTCAGAAAATAGTAGGGAAGTATTTAAATTCAGGCAGCTCAGAATGAAGCTGTGATTTTTAAATAAGATGATCCACAGAAGGGGACAAACTGGGATAGAAAAACAGATTTATTCTCTATGAAATCACAAAATTTGACAGAATAAGTCTGTGTCCTCACCAGCTCACAGGTTGACGTCTCCCACCCAGTATGAAGGGAAAACTTTTCCTGGCAGGATACGTTTTGCTCATCACGTTCACAGTGGCTCAAACACCCTTCCTAACCACGTCCTTGAACTCTCACATCTTCAGGCTGGAAAAGGAAGAGAGCAAAACAAATATAAGAAAAGGAAGAGATAAGAAAACCTTTAAGCAGTGGCCCACTGTTTCTGTCAGGTGTGGGTGAGACTCAGATGGCCCCTGTGCACAATGGGTGTCACCACAGGTTGTCAGGACAGGCCTACTGTGCCACTGCAATCAGCAACCTGCCTAATAGTGCAACTCATCATTGTCACACCCCACCTTTCTAAAACACTATAAAACAGGACCATTTAGTGTCGCATAGCAAAGCACATTAATCTGAATCAATATCATCATATTCCTGTTTGTTTCCACAACAACTGCTGAGAATCCAACAAATTAGAATGAACTAAAAAACAACTACTGCTGCTTTGACATGCAACGTATTGCACACGGACACCTCTGAACGGTATTCAGGAAACACCAGGAAGGTAATATGTCTATTGATGATGTGCCCTTTTTTTCTGGTTTAGTACATTGAAACAACAGTATAGGAAGTTTCTCTCACCACTGCACTTTAAGTTTTAGTTGGGAAGCTATGTGACTGAATGCTGTACACAAGTTCTCACAGCCTCGAGGATTTAGTTTGACAAGTCAGCATTGCTCAGTACTGCTAACTCAGCCCCATAAGTGTGAGCTATGGGACACCATTAACCCTACAGCAGGTATATATGCAGGGCCATGAACGAAATTTCACCCCGGTTCCCCGAGCTGAAGCACAGGTTAGGTCTCGGACTTCCTAAAAATGTTCCTCGTAAATACTCTAGATGGAAAGAGTGATCTGTTGCTACTTACAATGTCGAGGAGTGCCATCATAAAACTTCAGGTTTAAAAAGCATGTTTACACTGAACTAAGGCCCTGTTCTCACCTGGTATTAACACGAGCCTTGGGTGATCAGATCACACGTGGACAGCTCTAAGTACATGTGTGAATGCACCCCATACGCATCTTGAGATCCAATTACTCGTACCACATTTGTAGGTGGTGTGGGCTGCATATGGCTTAAGTCAGCAGTGTGTGCAATTATGTGTCCTGGGCCACATTGAAGGACCACTTACACAGCTGTAACATAGGTTACACACAATGCTGAGGGACAGTCTCTGGAGCTGCTCTTCTTCCTGTTAACTGTCAGTTCAACGTCTGCTCATTTAGCACGAGTTAACACAGCAACAGCAGCAGCAGCAGCAGGCTTGACTCTGTCGTTAAACCTGTTAGTAACCGTTAGGTAATGTCAGCTGTGTGATGCTAACAGTTAGCCCTGTGACTGTGTGTTTGTGGGCAGACTCTCGCCAACTGTCCCCAGTGCAGAGCTCACACTCCCGCAGCAGTAGTCTCCTAATGATGGAAAATGAAATGATTAGCTCCATATTCATTTGCATATAGAGAGAGGAAGTGAGATCTGATCACAAGTGGTCACTCGAGATGAACGTGGAGATGCATTCTAATACCAGGTATGAACATAAAGACGTAGGACTGTCCACTTGGTATTCAATCACTCAAGATACATGTTTATAGCAGGCATAAACAGGTTCTGAGTTATTTAAAGGGAGACTGCTTTATTGACTGGCATAACCAATATGCTCATCAGACCAATATTCTTAAAGGGACATTGTGTAACATTTTCAGTTGTTTACTGGCAAAAATTGATGTCTGCATTCATAAATATGTCATCACTGGTGTATTATTACCTCCACCAATAATCTGACTTATTCTCGTAAAAGGAGAATTTCGGATTTGTTTGTACATTGTGCGGATAAGTCGTCTGTGGGGTTCCATTACGTTTCGCCATCTTGAGAATACACCCGCCAGCAAGGGACATACAGCACCGCCTTCGGCGTTTTCGTTGAAAGCCAGGCCAGCACTGCGTGACTGAGGAGCCGAAGGAGAGGAGCAAGAGGCACTTCGCTACTACCCTGGCAAATTTGAAACAAAGTCCAACTCTTTGAGCATAATGCAGGATCATGGGAGACGGAATCCTTGTCGCCAAGAAAGTGCAAAAGGGAATAGAAAAGGCAGCGTGACCGGCGAATTAAAAAAACGAAGGCCCACATCGGGGTAGCCTTTCCCAGGTAGAGAGAGCTGCTGAAGGAGAATGGTAATGCAATCACAGGCCAGCGCCGCTGTTGGCTGTTAGCCACTGTTAGCGGCCAGTCGCTAACAGCCTCATCCCTCTCCTCGCATCACTGCGCCGCTGTTAGCTGTTAGCCGCTGGTATCCACTGTTAGCACTGGCCTGTGATTGTATTACCTTTCTCCTTCAGCGGCTCTCTCCACCTGGGAAAGGCTACCCCAATGCTGACCCTTGTTTTTTTTAACTCACCGGTCATGCTGCCTTTTTGATTCCCTTTTGCACTTTGTTGGCGACGAGGATTCTGTCTCCCGTGATGCTGCATAATACATGATCCTGCATTATGCTCAAAGAGTGGGACTTTGTTATGCGGCAGTAGTGCCGCTGGCCACTAACAGCTGTTAGCGGCGCAGTAATGCGAGGAGAGGGATGAGGTGTGTGAGGTTGAGCCACTTGTCAGTTGTCAAAAGACAAGACGTGATTGGTTTGTTTCAATTTACATCCGCCCCAACAGTCCTACATTGTAAACACCACCAGCATGGTGAGGAGGGGGTTTGTCAACTCGCGTCGCGTGTCTGTGTAGGAGCCTGAATGAATACTCCATGTAGTATCGGATGACATGGTTTCATCAGTGTTATCATAGCTTTTTGGTACACAGCGGCTACAGTTGTTGCAATACGTGTTTGAAACAGTGAGGCGCTAGAGTGCGCCATCTGTTTGAATACAATATATGATTTCAACGTTAGATGGGAGAAATTCCTACACACTGTGGCTTTAACTTAGCATGAAGCATATGTTAGCTGACAAGTGTGGTGACACACAAGCTGTTTGTCAAAGGCAAGCTGGTACTTGGGGATATTTTTAACCATGTATGGTGGATGTTAGGACACTCATGAATAACACTGTGGAAGACTACTTCAAAACAAAAAAAGGAGAGGAAATAACTCCTATAGTTAGGCAGACAGTAGCACATCAACAAACTGACCTTGAGCAATGAAGAGCTGGCTTCCAGGTCAGTGAGCTGACAGTCCTGCTTGAGGGAAGGGGACAGAGATGATCGAGAAACTCCACAGCACAGCATCCTTCCACTTCCAGATGGTACAAATATAAAATAAAATGAAGACAAGCAGCATTAATACAGGTAATGGAAAATAAAGCACTTGAACAACATAAATCAGGCCAGGGTTAGCTGTTGTTCAGTTTTCCAATTGTATCGCTCAAAAAAAAAAATAGTAACTGAACACAAAATATGAGTTAATTATTAAACAGTTTGGTCTACTGAAATGCAACCATGGAAGATCAGTTTTGATTCAATCAGCAGAGCCCCACAAGAAATCTCATCAAGGCCAAAACACTTAACAGCTTACTGCAAACTTTCAAATTGTATATTATGCACAGAAAACTCACTAAATCATAAAATGTTTGGCAAATGAAGCAATTTAATCTCATGTTAGTAAACCCATTCTGTGCTATGGTGTGTACATATTTATGCAGAACACATATATATATATATAAAAAGGTAGAGGGGTTGAGTCAGATGGCCCCTGTGCACACAGTGTGTCCTCAGGTTGGGTCAGATTGGGGTATTGATGCCACTGCACCAACACCCCAATTGATTAGTGCAACTCATCACTCTCACACCCACTCCCCTTCCTTTTAACACGCAACGCTGATTCTCTGGGAGTGTTTTTGAGATACTAACATGCCTGCTGGGTGTGTGTTTACCTTGTGTTCCCATTTCCCGACCGACAGATAGCTCCATCCAGTCTCGCCTCGCTGCAACATGAGGACTGAGTCATGACGGTGAGCAGCAGTGCCTGCGTACAAGGACGTAGCATGCGAAACAAGCAGGTTAGCCATAGCACGTGCACAAAGCGTGGCGGTTGCCCCGCCCGTTGTGAAAAATTGCAGAAAGTTTAACTTGCCAACGTGACACTGAAATTAACTGTAATGGTTGGCTACTAGTATCTAATTTCCTCAACGCTGAAAACAAACATTAGCGTCGGTTAAAACAAAAGACCCACTCACGAAGCTAGCCAAGTTAGCGTAGCTTCGCCGTTAGCAGGTTAGCTAAAGTAGCAAATAACATTCGCTTCCGCTTTTTAAAAACGTCACACAGCTTACCCACAGCGCCTAATACAAACTTACAGCATAAAACCGAAGATATATCTTACGTTAGTTGTTTTCAAACAAACATTATTCTTGAGTTTCTTGCTCTTTGTAGCTGCTAGTTCAGCCAACCGCCCTGGACAACATTTCTTCTCATTCTAATCAAGTGCGGTTTGTAAAGCTAATCGCTGATTGGCTCAAAGCCGGGACCATGCTGCATGTTCATTGGACAGTTGAGACTTTCTTCCGGTTGAACCACCAATTAAAAAGTTGTATATAAGTCACATGACTACACTCGCTTCACAAGCGCTTCAAAAACCATGAATACACACAGGTGGTGGACCTCTGCCTAGTATTTTAGGGTTGGTTTTTTTTTTTTTAGAGAAAATTTAATTAATTTGACTTTAAAAATTGTATGCTTGCTGGTCTTATCCGTCTGTTCACATTTTCTAAAAGGAAGTAGCAATAATCATTTTTAAAAACTTTGGATTTAAGTATTAGTACTGCATTCACATCCCTTTATCTTGCACATATCCCTGACAGACTAAGCAAAGATGATACCTATCTACTAAAGATCGTACTGGCAGCAAATAAAAAATTACAAATCCTGGGCCCAGAAAAACTGTCCTACTGCTTGTCTGTTTGTCAATATTGTTAAACACTCTCCTAGAACAGATGACCTACTCCATGAAACTTCAGAAAAGAATTGGTGAAAAAATGGTGTTCATTTAGCCAGTGAGGCAAATTTCATGAGTATTGTATGTACCATGTGTGATATCCTGCTTTAAGTAAGGAAAATTTGCCTTGACTTTTTAAACATCCCATGACCTGTGTTTTGCTCTTTATTTTTTCTTTCTGTATTACCCTTGCAATGTAAAAATGTTCATAAATAAAAAGTATTTAAAAACTGTTTACTCTTATTCTGAATATTCCAATCTAAATAAAACTGAAATACTGATGTTTGTTCACACTCCATATTTGGAGCAGGTGACCCTCTGGTTCCCAAGTTCCTATGGACTGAGCTACTGCCGCCCCCCAATAATGCTTATGGACCCAGCATGTTTCCGCTGCGCCACTCTGCTGTAAACCACCCCAGATGGGACTCGAACCCACAATCCCTGGCTTAGGAGGCCAGTGCCTTATCCATTAGGCCACTGGGGCTATATATCATGCAATTATATTTATGATAACATCACAAGGTAAGGTAACATACCAAGTGTTGCTTATGGAGTGGGTGGGGTATTCAGGGATTAATAGTGCATGTGGTATCCATTAATACTGTAAAGACTCATGGTGTTGATGTATTGATTTATATATCATTAAGTCTGAACACAAGTTATCAACTAAGTTACTGGTGTTTTCTAGTGGTGGTTAAAGCTTGTTTACTGCACATAGTGTGTTGTCTGCAACTAACTGCTTCATCCTCTTCTAGCATCTCATCTCTTCTCCCTCTGTGTCAGTGGCATCTTTGTTTTGCCTTCCTGTGTTTGTGGAGTCTGTCCTCTTTACAGGTATTTGTGGGAAACAGTAGGGTTTGGGGTCAAAGGTCCTACCCACTCCTGGCAGGACCTGGAAGCTGCTTAATGTCCTGTCTGATGAATATTATTTACTCTAGACAACTAACTGCCTGAAACTGTTAATATTTACTTGATATTAAAAGGTATATTCTTTATTTAAGTTGTCAGTTTATAAAGTAATTTGACTAAATGCTACTTTGTATTCTAAGTGTATATTATAACTATTGTCTGTTTGTCCTGGAAGAGAGATCTCTTCTCTGTTGCTTTATACTCTTGCTCTAAGTTGGATGACTTGGCTTCATGCCTCCAAAACCCTGATTCTCTGATTACATCTTTGCTCCCATTGTTAAGTCTGCAATTATCTGCAGAAGCAGACATCTGATTTCCCTTTATTGCTATACGATGATTGTGTCTGATGAGGAGGGCATTTGTCTGAGAGCAATAAGTGCATAGATGACTGAGTCAAAGGTTTCATTGAAATGCAAATGCAATTTTATATTAAAAGATAGCAAAGGGATGATTCACTATATCACACAACACAGCTTGTTAGTACTGCCATGGAAATACATATACAGTCTTTTCATATTTACACATCAAGTGACAACCAAACAGAAATCATAAATACCTCTTTTTGTTAACTTTACAACAGCTATACGCGACCAGTATTTCATAAGATAAAAGAGCACTATTAAATAACTGGCATTTTCCCTATCATTTACAAGGCTTGGAAACACAGTGGTTAAAATAATCCAGCAAAAAACAAAACAAAAAGAAAATAAAATGTTCTTCTCCAGTGAGTAAAATTAATACAAGTCTAAAAACGGTCATGAAATCCCTTTGTACAAAAGACTATACAACTTAATCAACACAATATCTTCAACAGAAATGTTTGCTTATATCCGCATGATAAAATCTGTACAGTTTTAGCATTCCTGCAGCAGAGTTGGAGGGACTGTGAGCCGGGATGATTGGTTACTGGGTCACTGTGATGCTCTGTAGGCCTACCGTCAAACAAACCGTCAGAGACCGTAGTTATGTAGCTGCCAAGACCCTCTTTCATTGGCCTCAGTGCTTCGTCTAGCAGCAAATCAGCAAGTTGCTGAGCTTGTAGCAGATACTTCAAAATACATGGTTCTATAAAGTCTAACCGATATATTTGTCAATATAGCAATATAGTATTTTCTTGTACCGTATTTCAACAACAGACAGAATGGTACTCTAAAGTTAAAGCAATGCATAATATCTTTACTTGTATTAAATTCATTTTTCAGTAAGATGTCAGTGATACATTTCTAAACTACAACCCTCACTGTCTGATGGGGTCAGACATGCACAGTGTTCCTCTGTTGTACCGTACTGTGGCAGATACTGCAAGTACACCTTTGCGTTACAGATTTAGAGTTGATGGATCCAAACTCAAATTACAAAAAGAACAAGTATTCTCATTTACCTCTAGTAGCGTTTGGCCATGCAGATACTTTTGGTTGTGAGTGCCAAGTTTTTGATATATTCACCTCTGAAACTCTCACCCTACCCTACACTACAGAGAGCCAAAGTGAAACTGGAACTTTTGTGATCATGTTCCAGAAGGAAGATAATATAATTGAAAATCACACTGATGTTTGTAGTGATGCAGAAAGCATCACATGCAGAAAGTCTAACCCTAACATATCCTTTCGCAACATCATCTTGTTTAGTTTCATCAATTTGTTAGAACAGGTCATCTTTTTATTCCAAACATGAAATAATATCCTTTATCTACCATTTTTGTTTGGAGTAGCAAGTACTAGCCTACACTGTTGTGGTCGTATGAGAAAGTACAGGGAGGGCTGAATGACATACACATTTTTTTAGGCAACTGAGATTATAGCTAAAAAAATTGGAGAGTTGGCATTGGTGGATAGAGTGAGCACAAAGCATGGATAAGGGAACATTGGTGATAACAATGTTTAATACATGCACTGATGAAAAAAATCAAAAAGACCTTCAAATTCTAACAGTAAGTGCTGTGTATCAGTGGTTCTCAACCATAGACTAAAAATGATAAATGTAGCTACTGTGACGTCACCCAGTGGTTTGTGGATTCCCTTTCTAAAGCCTCAAGTTCAGCATTTCAGCTTGTTCTTTTCTTTTGGAGCCAGAAGTGACCATATTTGGGCGAGAGGCTGGCGCTCTGGAGGAGCGAGGGGTAGATCTGACTGAGAAGCCAAGGACACTATCGGCAATCAAAGCGGCCCAGCCTTAATTACATGCAACTTTAAGCATTAACAAAATGTCAGCGGGTTAGTCACATAAAAATTTAACTCGCGGACAGTTGTCATGAATGTTGAAAATAGCTATAAAGGCCAAAACCATTTTTATACCAGGCTGTAAACATGTTTATTTCTATGGGGGTCTGTGGGGACTGACTGGCTTGTGGAACTAGCCTCAAGACATCAAAGAACTGCGGTTTTTGGCTCTTGGTATTGGCTTCATCTTCAGCCCTGGAGATTGCTGGTTATTCTCAAACAGAGGTCCAGAGACCTCCAGGGATGCTTGCATGAGGAAGTCTCAAGGCTTTCCTCAGACAAATGGGGACTAATTTATTTTTAGTATTTAATGGGAATGAGTTACTGCCCCAAGCGAGGGAGTTCAAGTATCTTGGGGTCTTGTTCACAAGTGAGGGTAGAATGGAGCGTGAGATGGATCAGTGGTTTGGCACAGTGTCTGCAGAGATGGGGGCACTACGCCGGACCGTCGTGGTAAAGAAGGAGCTGAGCCAGAAGGCAATGCTTTCGATTTACTGGACCATCTACGTCCCAACCCTCACCTATGGTCATGAGCTCTGGGTAGTGACTGAAAGAATGAGGTTGTGGATACAAGCAGCCGAAATGAGTTTCCTCAGAAGGGTAGCTGGGCTCAGCCTTAGAGATAAGGTAAGGAGGGAGTTTGGAGTAGAGCCGCTGCTCCTTTGTGTCAGAAGGGGTCAGCTGAGGTGGTTCGGGCATCTGATCAGGATGCCTCCTAGGCGCCTCCTGTTAGAGGTGTTCTGGACATGTCCCACTGGTAGAAAGCCCCAGGGCAGACCCAGAACACAATGGAGGGATTATATATCTCGTCTAGCCTGGGAACACCTCAAGGTCCCCCAGGAGGAGCTGGAAAGAGTTGCTGTGGAGAGGGATGTTTGGGGTACTTTGCTCAGCCTGCTGCCCCCATGACCCGGCTTCGGATAAGCGGTTGAAAATGGAAATCACATGTACAAAGGCTATGTCCTTGCTGCAGTGGCCATGAGTTTGATTCCAGACCTCAGTCCTTTGTTGCATGTCTGTGTATTACTTTAGGGGTTTTTGACATTAAAAAAAAGTTGAGAACCACTGCTGTGTATCATTTATCCATTTGTTGAAGGACCATTAAAGAAAATCTCCAAGAGAGACTGGAATGGGAAAGCAGTGTTTCTGGGCAGTAGAACTCCCAGAGACATACAATATGTCTTGCACCTGGGTGAATAAAACCACAACTATCTGCATGGCCGAACAGCCCTAGTGGTGCATGTCTGAGACAATATGCTTTTCTGTGATCTGAGTGACCAAACCCAAGTAAGAAGAATGTCACGAACATTTTAAAACCTCTGAGTAAAATAATTATACAGCTGAAGGAGGAAAAAGAATGAAATGTTTGGCACTTAGGCTGGTACTTCATCGTGGCTTCCTCTGCTATGCCCGAGGATCAGCAATGGGTGAATGACAACTTTAAAAAAAAAAAGGAAGAAGAAGGCTCCTTTCAGGTTACTTTCACAAAGAATGAATGGACTTCTGCAACCAACTGAGAGTACCAGCTACATACAGTAAGCCCTTGCTTGACCTGTTGGAGTTTGTAAAAGAAGGAATCAGAAACAGATGGAGTCATCGCTGAGGTCTCCCACCGGTGAGGGCAAGTCAGTAAAGTCAAACAAAACAAACATCCCCCAATTAAGATACATTTCTATTGACGTGTAAATGATGAAAGAAGCATGGAGACTCTGTGAAGCCCCACCCTTTGGCACTGTCATAAATACAACTCTTGAATACCCGGGTCCTGCGGCACAAACGCAACACTCTCGCCATTTTTCTGAAAGTCAGCAAACCCACTCCACAAGTACAAAAAACGTTCATAAATAGAGTTCATAAAGACATGAGTGGCATTAGAGAGAGCATCGTGGTTACATCGTCCAGGGAGTATGTCGTTCTAGCTTTGTCCAGAGAAAAAACATAAGTTCACAAAAAAAATAAAGGTGAAGTTGTACACAGAGAAGCGTTCGTCGCATTGAGAGTCTGCATCCTTTAAAAAGGCTCCAGATAACGCTTGTGTCTCTCTGTTCACTTCCTCCCCAGAGTCCTTTGCGTTCTTATTCCAGCATGCTCATTAGTTTATCAGTTTGCCTAAAGGCAGTAGCACTGAGGGTACTGTTGGAGGACTGTACTGCATGTGTATGTGTGTGAGTGTGTGTGCACAAGTAGGACGGAGCCCCAGTTTCAGAGACAGGAAGTTGTGTTTACAGGAGCTTAGTTGTGTCTAACCAGGTTCATCTGTACCGTTACTCTACGTATGCAACCGTTACGTGTTTGTACCTATTTATTTTTGTGTGTTTGTACCAGCTATAAATACAGGTGTGTGTATTAGGTAATGGAGGTTGGGATAAAGCACAGAGGGCGAGGGGGGGGGCCTTCTTCACACTTCGCTCTCGGTGGAGGGCTTGCGCGTGGAGGCCCAGCCGGTGTCGGGCAGGCTGTGCTGGGCGTGGCGCTGTGGGGTGATGGCTGAGGGGGTCAGAGTGGTTATGGAGGAGCATTCGGACGCTTCCTCCTGGAGGAGCTGCTCCGTCTCGCCGTCATCTAGCGAAGCGCTGCTGGCCTGCAGGGACACGGTGTCTGTGCGCATGCAGGTGTGCAGGCCGCCTCGGGACGGCTTGATCTGTTTTAGGTCGTCCCAGTAAAGCTCCTCATTGGACAGGAGACACACGCCCTCCACAATGCGGATCTTCTCCTTGGTGTAGCCTCCGTCCACGCCCCCCTGGACCACGAGAAACAAAGAGTTAGTCAGAGCAATGGCCTCTATAGCAACAGTATAAAGGCAAAATCCACCTTTAGGCAGTCAGTAACATTTATTTCTTTGTTTTCTCTTTATTGTTCTCCCATTCTTTCTTTCTTTCTTTCTTTCTTTCTCTCTCCTTTCTTTCTTTCCTTCTTCCTTCCTGTGTTTCTTACTCTCTTTCTTTCTTCATTTCTATCTTTCGGTTTCTCTTTTCCTGTATCATTGTCTTCCTTCCTTTCTTTCTTCTCTCTATTTTCTTTCCTTCCTTTCTTTCTATTTCTTTTCCTCTTCCTCTATCTTTGTCTTCCTTCCTTCCTTCTTCTGTCCTTCCTTCCCTCTTTTCTTTCTTCCTTCCTTTCTTTCTATTCCTCTTTTCCTCTGTCTTTGTCTTTCTTCCTTTCTTTCATTTCTTTTTTCCTTCCTTCCTTCCTTTCCCTCTTTCTTTCTATTTCTCATTTCTTCTATTTATCTGGCTTCCTTTCTTTCTTCTCTCTTTTCTCTTTCCTTCCTTCCTTTCTTTCTATTTCTCGTTTCTTCTATTTATCTGCCTTCCTTTCTTTCTTCTCTCTCTTTTCTCTTTCCTTCCTTCCTTTCTTTCTATTTCTCCTTTCCTCTACCTTTGTCTTCCTTCCTTCTGTCTTTCTTTCTTCCTTCCTTCTCCTCCCTTCTTTCTATTTCTCTTTTCCTCTGTCTTTATCTGCCATCCTTTCTTTCTTCTCTCTCTTCTCTCTTTCCATCATTTCTTTCTATTTCTTTTTTCATTCCTTCCTTTTTTCTTTTTCTTTTTCTTTCTTCCCTCCTGTCTTTCTCTCTTGCAACTTTCTTTATTCTTTCCCTTCCTTCCTTAATTCCTTCACCTTAACCCTTCCCTCCTTTATAAAAAATATCTGAACCTCAAAATCGGCTCCACAAAAATCCCCAAAGCTCAAAGTTCAACATGTTAAAGGTGGATTTTCCTTTAAGGATTAATCAGCAACCAACTGCACAACACTCCAGAACAAGATGTCACCTTCAAACACAACCCATGCACAGCACGTTGGCTCGTTTCATTAACGTTGTGCTTTCACCTGGAGTTAGTTTTTTATTTTCAGATTAAAGTACAACAGGTTTATATAATTATCATTAATCTGGAGTGAAATCCACTGGATTGCTTTACAGTACAAAAACAGGGAGATGTTTCTTTTTCTTTTCCCAGAGCAAATGGAGTTATGCTACAGCGCTGCATATCACACCCCTGAACAAATTATTCAGTCTGCCATAGCAGGAATAATTTGAACAGTGTCTCTTAATCACCAGCATAAGAAACAAATGCATACAGCGGGCGTGGCACACCTGTTGAGACAGAGGCAAAATGACCCAAAGCAGTGAGCTCGCCTGAAACTGCTGCTTATACTAACAGCCTACAAGCAGCCCAGCCACAGCGCTTCCTGTATTTAACAGACTTTTTTTCAACAGCTGGTGCAATGGGTTGCAATAAACAGAGCACTGGAAATGGATTTAGCCTTATTAATCACAATGATGACTAAAACTAAAAAGCAGACAATCTTTAATTATTTTCTCTCTTCTGACATCTTACCTGCAACACGGTTTATGAGAAATGTGGTGTTGATTTTAAAGGGGACCTATTGTGCTCATTTTCAGGTTCATACTTGTATTTTGGGTTTTTACTAGAGCAGGTTTACATGCATTAATGTTCAAAAATCTTTATTTTCCTCATTCTGTTGGTGCTGGAACACCTGCAATTCACCCTCTGTCTGAGATGCTCTGTTTTAGCGCCTGTCGTTGTTAGATCCCCTCCTGAAAAAAGCTGGGTCTGCTCTGACAACAACAGGCTGCAGTGAGAGTCGTTCTCGACTGGATATTCAAAAATAGTGGGTTGGTGCATTTGTTTATTTGTTTATTTAAAAGGATCCCCATTAGCTGATGCCAAGATGACAGCTAGTCTTCCTGGGGTCCAGACAATAAAATATTTAGTCCTTCACAGGCAAGCTCAGGGGTTTAGCGTTCCCGTAGCCCACAGGAACAACGCTCCACGGCGCTTTTTTTTTTCTCTGAGTGAGGATTAGAATATACGCAGTTTGCATACTCGAGTCCAAATTAATATATATAAACGCTTGAAGATCCACTCATTACTAAAAGTGTATGTCATATACAAAGTAATGGTCAAAGTTGTCATATTGAAATTTAAGGTGTGTTGATGGATTCACATCGTCAACTCGTGTATTGAGTAACATTACAACTCTACGGTCCACCTTAAAAATCGCCGGCAGTCGGCCCAGTGAATTAAGTTACTTTCTCAGACTCCAGCTGCTGTGAGAGGCAGCAAAACATCCTTTCATTTCATAGTTACAGTTTACTAATGAAACTCTCCACAGTATGAACAGTGGTTACATGAGCCTCAAAACCAGCCACAACTCAGCCCTGAGCAGAGTGACCGTCCTCTACTGACCAATCAGACTGCAGTGTTCACAGCTCCACCTTTAAGTACCAGATCTGTGTGCTCGGCACCCCAACAGAGGGGGGACCAAACATGGGGACGGTAAGGAACAGTTCCATTGGTACCATCCACAACTTTTCACTGTGGAAACAGAAAAAAATGTGTACCAAACTGAACTGAACTGAACTGAACTGAACTGTACCATAATGTACTGCTTGGTGGAAACGTGGCTTTAGTGTCTCTGCGCTGTCGTTGCAACCAGGAAATGCAAGTCATATACCTGCAGCTGGAGCAGCTACGTGACCCGTGACCCCAGTATTGCACAGTTCTGACATGGAGCCTACCAACTGCCTGCACTGTTAGTTGTTAATATTTTTTTCAAGGCTTCATCATTGATTTGAGAATGACATAATGATATTTACATGTAGCACATCACACTTTGATTCTCGGCCTGCTGAAATGTCAGTTTCACACAAACCCCATAAGTAGTTATAAACACTGACATGCTTCTGATCGCAGAGCTCTGAAACTGCACCAAAGAGAGAAATAGTTTTGAATAGCAGGTTGCATGCAGTGACGGACAGAAGAAGTGAAGGAAAACAGAGAAGCGGCAGAGGACACAACTCCTCCATGCTGTGTAACTACCTCTCCACGGGACAAGTGGGTCAAAAGATAAAGGGAGAGAGGGAGTTGTAGGGATGAGAGAGCTGTAGTGAGGAGAGAGAGAGGGGGAAGAACAGATGAGCGCTGGTGCCCGTGACCTGCTTGTGTCACATGTTACAATATTTCAACACAATCAATCAGACAAACAGTGACGTCATTTGTCTCCGTGGTTACCCACCGTACACCTCCATAGCCTGTGATCATCATTCTATGGACTCATCATGGATTCACCTTTAATCCATTCATATATTAAACAGAAAATGTAATTTTCACTTCTGTGTCCAGACTGTTCCTTACCTCTTTCTTATATCGAAGCTGGTTGTATATTGGAGGCTTTTGCGACGCCTCGATCTTGACCTCTTGTGTGGATGTCCGGTATGAGGGATTGCTGTAGGTCAGGTTGCTCACTCCAGGGTCGGCAAACTTTGACTTTTTATGTCTGTCGGTCCAAAACAGGACAAAAGGAGCACATAGCTTCATTAATACACCATCTGCTGTGTATGAAATGTAATGTGTCATATCCTCTGTTTAAGACCAGAGAGTAAGGAAATGAAGAAGTGTAAAAGAGGGGACTTACCTGTAAATTATCAAAGCAGCGATGAGGATCAGAATAGCCAGGATGGTCAGAACTCCACCGATCACATAGCTGATATGAAGTCCTTCTCCTGCAACAGATGGCACAGATGTTTAGTGTGTAGAATTTAGTGGCATTTAGGCATTTCATACACACATAGAAAAGTTTTGATTTAGTTTTATCTGTTTAAGTTTTTAGTAGTTTAGTAGTTCTTACTGTAAAGCACTTTGAATCTGCATTGTGTGCTACACAAATAAAGGTTAATATAATTGTTTTATCACTTAATTCACATTTAATGTCCTTAACAATGGACTTTGGCTGACATTAGCATTCATACTGATTTGCTTTTTCAGGCATTTCTGAGAGCTTTCAGGTGAAGAAAACAACACAGTTTCCCAGTCGTAATCGCCTTGTTGTTAATGTGAAAAATATTCACAAGTTGGAAACTGGTAATTAATGTAACCCCAACATGATGCGACAGAAGCAAAGCTAAACTGGAAGGAGGAAGTGGAAAATACGCCATCTAACAAAGCTGTTCTCATGTAGGTTAGTGAGCTACTAACCTACAGCTACAACCAACATTGGCCGCCTTTCCCAGTTAAGAGCGATCTTAAGAGTTAAGAGCACAGTTAAGATTGTCTTTGGTAAGAAGGGTAGCTAAGATAAGAGTGTTTCCCAGATGCGTTCTTAATGCCCTTCTTAGGATCGCTCTTTAAGAAGCTCTTAACAGAAGCTGGTCACTACCGCGGTGCTGAAACTAAATCAATCGATGTCAGGCAAATCGATCACCTACCACTTAATCAGCACATAAATCACACACAGCGCTGCTACCTAACGCACCAGTTCCCTGCTGCTTGTCTGTATGTGTGGGTTCTAATAATTCTAATGAAAAACTAAGCCGATAAATATTTGTTAATGACCTATTTTCATGATGAAAACAAGACTACAACTAAATAAGTAGTAGTCTTGGTAAGAGAATGAAGAAATGTATTATATTTAAACAAAAAACACAGACGCCTTGCTGAGGCCGGTGCCGTTTCCCACCACCTCCAGGAAGCTCCCCACTGCGTAAAAACGCAGCGCAGCCAGGCACTGCACCTCCGGGCTGAGGGCAAAATTGCACCGGGTTGCCCTCCGGATGTGTGGAGACACTAGTTGATGAGGTGTTGTATCTCAGCCGGTACTTCATTTGGACAGCCGGTCTGACAGCACGTCGAGTGGGCTACATTTACATATACGGTTTGGCTTCGCACACAGCAACGCTGTTGGTTAGCAGCAAGAATATGCTGTAAAGCAGCCATGGTATCTCACACATGTGTGATGTGGCAACGCCTTTATATAGAGTAGCGAGTGGAGCGTCCCTTGATGAGGTTCCAGCTGAGCTCAATTACACCTGTCAGTTGCCTGATATCTGAATGTTGCAGGTTTGGAGGGTGGATGTGTTTCTGTTGTGCCCTGACGCATTTTTTGGGTGCAGTAAACTATCTCATACGTGCATGCAGATGTGGGATATGTGCAGACAAATTATGATAAATGATAGTCATGATGATTCATTTTATTTGTGTGCCTGATGTGCACAGCACTAGTGGCAACAAAAGCACAATACACTAGTACATGTAAAAACACGACGGCAGCCATCTCTGCCAAGTCAGTCTGCAGCCGATCCCGACACAAAAGTGGACAAGATCCAAAACCTGATCAAATTCTATGGTTGAAAATTGTTTAGTTTTGATTAATAATGTTTGTAGTTTGATATCCCATACAAGCTTGACCAATCTTAGCAACAGTAACAAGCTAAGACATTGTGAAATTGTATGGAGCAAGGAAAAAAAACAAGATAAAAAATGTTCAGGCATTTAAATTAAGTGTTCTATACTTTATTAAACACTTGTGGCTACTAAAAATAACCCCACTGCGTCATATGAGGACATTATTGGTTTAAAAACTACTTCCTGTTTAAAGACAATTCTTAGTTTTTCATACTTATCAGATCCAACTGATCCCAAACAGCTAGGAGAAATTAAAAATGCATACCAAACAAAAGTTCGGGTGTCAGGAGGATATGTGAATTTTCCAAACGTCAGACCTACATGTCAGTGTTCCTTTACGTATGCAAATGGATGATGATAGAACTTTGTCAAATACTGACCGTGAGGAGCCGTCACCACGTTGTTCAAGCAGCCTTCTATGTTTAGGGTCTTGTCAGTGCAGCTGTAAAAAAGCAGACAGAAACACAGCTTGAAAAGGTTCTTTACTTAATATTAGCCGTATGAAGTCCAAACATGAGATAGTTTTTCCTGAAGATAAGTCTTGGTGGGGCCTTTGGGAGGAGGCTGCCAGATTCTGCAGTATTAATGCTGGTTGAAAATCTCATTGTGTATTCTGCTGAAGATGAACAATTACATAATACTCCTCTAAGGGATAAGGTAATTCTCCAACCTCTATACAAGGCGCGAGAGCACTCAATATTTTATCTGGGCAAGAACAAGCAACTTCACTTCTCCAATTATTGCTATTTCTTATAAAGTAGTTCTTCAAATTAGATAAACAAAGTTGAAAAGAAGCACTCAAAACAGAAAACCTGGCAGCATCTTGTCTCAGACGACGTGCTGCTGTCCGAAATTGTTTTAAAAACAAGAGTCATGCGTGGAATTTTAAAGCAGTGATGCCAACGTGCTTGGCAGAAGAACAAGTATCGGTGTTTCTCAGAGGGATAATGTGGAAGTACTCAAGATGCATTTATGGTGTTAAGTTATTAATTACATTTTTGAAACATTTAAGTAAATAACCACTTCAAAAGGGAGCTTTCCTGTTAAAAGTACTTTTTAGGATGGAGGGTGCACACATCCAAAAAACTTTTGCAGGCCCTGGATCAAAGTCAGAGTCAGACAGGAGATCTACTGCTGTGTGATGGTGATTTGACAATGCCTGACGAACATCTGTTGCATCATTAAAATTGCTGGGAGCTTTTAATAGTGTGTGGATCTCCTGTCTGATACTCAAAAAAACACTTCTTCAAATGGACAAAGCGACGTACTTGACAGGTGAGGGTCCTGCGTGTGGGGTGTCTGTTGGAGCTTTGGGGATCTTGTTAGGGACCGGAGTGCTGCTGGTTCCTCTGGCAGGAGAGGTGGGGATGTAACCTGAAACTGATCAACACATGCACATTAGAACCTAAGTGTGCTGCTGGACCATAAACCCCCTCATCTCCATTGCTTTGAGTTCTTCTCAGAGCCAAGCATCTACCAATAACACTGGACACACTGTATTTTGTTAGTTACTTTGGTTCTTCCATCGTCCACCATTTCCTCTACTGTGGATTCTAACTGCACAGAACTTACAGCTACAAAACAATAGTGCTATTTTCTTCCTGTTTTGATAGAGCAGTGGTTGAGGCACTTTCTTTGTGCTGTGAATCAAGCCTTTATTTTCCAGGGAGATCACACCAGGTGGCAGACAGAATTGCACCATGAAAGTGAAGCTTATTGGGAGCCAATCTAAATGCAGATGACGTCATTATTACATAGCCATTATATAGTGAAATCAACATTTACTTCATAACGATATGTTAAAGCAAAAATTTAAAAAGCAGGACTTCTACAGATACCTGCAAGTTAGGGACTGCTTCAATAAAAAAATTCAAAGCTTAAAGATAATGAACACCGTCTTATTACTAGATTTTTCAAATGCATACATAATTGGACATACTCAAAAGTTAGTTTCGAAACTGTGCGTGAGTATTTAAATTTCAAAGAATCATTCAACAAAATATATTAAACAAAAATGGGAGAAAGAATCTGACAGAGATATGTGCAGACTCAAGGTCCCTGAGGGAGTTTGGTTGGAAAAACCTTGCGTGATTCTTTATCACCTCTTGACTAACAGCGTGTGAACAGGCCTACAGAGCCAGGACTTTTGTTGGAGGCTGTGTGGAACCACACTGGCCAATCATAATCATGTTTTCTGGGCCCAAAAATACAACCATATTGGCGAGAGATTGCAGCTGAGATTCATGAGATAGTTGGGATGGATTTAGTCAACTCATCTGCTGCATTATACTTAGGAAAAATACCTGAAACTGTCCCACACAAAGATAAAAATTTAATGAAGATACTTTTGGCAAGTAGCAGGAAAGCCATAACTCGTAAATGGTTGCAAGTTGATCCTCCAACACTGGCCCAATGTGTGGGGATTATAAATGAAACATACTGTGTGGAAAGATTTGGTTTTATTTTAAGGCTTGAGATGGAAATGAACGCCGTTGAGAAAAGTGTGACACTATATGCCAGGATGTAAATAAAAAATGTACTGTGATTTGACCTGTCCATGATGAGTTAGCAAAGAAAAAAAAAACAGGTTTATTTCCACTTTACCCTGGGGTTATTGAGCCTCCAACAATCCTACTATGAAAATTTCTTACTGGCCAAGCATATGGGATTTGGGCTATAACATGCAAACATATTAACACAGTTATTTTTTGTCAAACATACAACAGCTACACTGTACAATCACATTGGTCACTCACTGGTGGAGCAGGGTCGCCCGTCTGGCTCATCAGGACAGGCGCACACAAAACTGTTGGTCTTGGCGAAGCAGAGGTGAGTGCAGCCGCCATTATTCACCCCACAGAGGTTGGTACCTGAATGACAGGAGAGGGAGCATTCACAGGTGGCACCAAACAGTCTGAGTGGCTTCTTTGAAATCAGTGAGTGTTTCCTCCTTTAGTTTGGTTCATTTCATTTGGTGAGAACAAAGAAATTTGAGTTTGCAACACTATTGTGACAGCAGAAAATGAAGGTCCTGGCCCTCTTTATGAGAACTGTGATGCAGTTTGTTACAAAACAATAAACAACTCACACTCATTACCAGAGGCTACTCCAAGTAAAATACTTTTTCTATTTATCAAATGACATAAAAGAAGGTCAAATAAATCCTTCATGTTTAGCTAATTATCCTGAGAGCAACTGGAATCAGATTTCATGCCAGAGGAAAGGTTACTAAAAAAGCTTTTTGAGAATCCTTGGGACTTCTAATTAAAAGTGCTGATTCACTTTCTCTGGGAGACAAAGAAAGTGAAACTAATTTAATTTAGGGCTGCAATTAACAATTGTTTTAACTATCGATTAATCTGACCATAATTTTCTCGACTAGTCGATTAATTATTGTGTCAATGTATCTGACAAACAGTCAAAAAGTCCAAAGCTATTCAGTTTGTTATCACGTATAACAAAGAAACACATCAAACTCTCATATGTGGGAAGCATAAAACTAGCAAATGTTTGGCTTTTTCACTTAAAATCCTACTAAAATGATTATTTGAATATCAAAATAGTTGCCAATTAATTTTCTGTTGATTGACGACTTTAATAATCCACAAACTGCTGCAGCTATAATTTGATCGGGTTCATTTTTGTTTTGATTTTATTGTCTGCATGTACACAGATATTCTTGAAAACAGATTATTAAACCTCTTTACACAACCTTCATTTTACAACATATCTCGTTCACACTAGAATTTAATAACGACCCCAAACGTTTGCCGGTGTTAGCCGTCCTCTGCAGCCTCACCTCGTCACAAAGGGAGCAAAGTTTACAGGTTAACGTTACCTTTTTCAAAACACCTACTGAGGATCTCATCACTGTTAACTCCCCGTCAATATAAGGACTGAAAAACGCAGTGAAGAATTTTTATAGACGTGTGCCTTCTATAGCATTAACATGGAAAAGCACCCAGAGACCCAGAGAATATTGGGCATACACAATTACATACACGATCAAAGACAAACAACAATGGTTTCCATGTATCTGGGGCCCATTTATGAGATATCTTGGGGGCAAAGATTTATCTTGTATGTTGGACATGATGGAGGAAGCATAATCACAACCTCTGCATTAAAACTTACTTAAACTTGTTGTGTCCAAAGTAAGCGTAATACACAGTATGCAATGAAGAACTTGTATAGGTGTCTGTCAGATAGAACCCCCAATGTAAATTATTATTTTTCTTTTTCTTTGCAATTTTCTTTTTCATTTAATATTATCATTACTATTTTAATTTTTATTTTATATATTTATATATATTTATTCTGTGTTCCTATTTATTTATTTGTGTGTGTGTGTGTGTGTGTTACAATTTTTCAATTTGCTTTAAAACAGTTTGTCATCATGTATGTATTTATTTTAAAGAAAAGGCAGGACTTTTGTAAACATTCACACATTTTGTATTCTCTATGTTCTTTTCTTTTTGTATAATGTTGAAAACTTAATAAACAGATTGTTAAAATCTACTAGTTCGACTGGGCCTAATCCTAAACCGTCATTTCTGGGGAACCATATAACACTGGGCACAGCAGAAGGCTCAATTCATACTTGAAGTGGTGCAGCAGAGCTCAGTTTAAGTGTCAAGTTGTCATTAGACTAAGCAATGCTAACAAAACATAATAATAGGTAGGTATTATGCCACTGTCGTTATTATTTCCGGCGCATGCTTATTACACAAGGCAAACGTGGACATGGACAAAATTTAGCTTATGTCATTGTTTCCCAAACGCTGACATAAGATGTTTTACATGTCTTTGAGGATACAAAGTAACCTGTAATCTGACAAATCTGCACCTTAGAGTTTTAAAAAAACAGTTTTTGTGACCTCAAACTTTGTGTAGATGACCACACAGTACTGAGCAACTGAATATCAACATTTTGAAATTTGTGTAATTTCTTGAGTTATATGAAGACTTTAATGCATTCTCAACTAAGGTACGTGTTGTCTTGATACCAGGTTATTTTCTTCTTCTTTGCCCGGTTTGTTGTCTGTTTCTATGGCAACCATGGTTCACCAAACTGACTAGATTTGCGACCCACTCTGCACCCGTGTTCATCGCCTGATTTATTCCACGCTCTGCTGCTTAAGCACTTCACCAGCCAAACACTGAGCATCAGAGTCCTCACAGATAACCGTAGTGAGGTCTTTAATTTCCCCCATGTCATCTGGATGTGTCAGAAGAAGAGCCTCCTTACCTGTCTGCCTGTGAGGTGACACCACTATGATGTCCATGAGGCCCTCCACGTTGGCCAGCACCGTTTCCTTGTTGCGGCCGGTGTGTTTATCCACCCGCTGGATGGACTTTGTCTGCCAGTCCGTCCAGTAGATCCAGCGGTCTTGCTGCGAGAGTCGGGAGAAAGGAGTTAGAGGGGAGGACACCGGCTTCAACTGGGGAAACGAGGGAGAAGAAGAGAGGAGAGGAAAAACACAGACAAGGAGAAGGGGCATGGGAGGAAGAAAGGGAAGGGAAACGGGGAGGAAGAAAAATGAGGGTCAGAGTGGAAGAGAAGTAGAAGAAATGGTTAAGCCGAATGAGTTCAGCATGAGTGGGAGGACGGAGAGACGACCAGTGAGAGTCACACGGTGAGCCGATGAGTGAAAGAGAGCAGGTGAGTGGAGGAGGCAGCCAAGAGGAAGGGGTCAGCCCAGTGATTGACAGCTGAGGGTGAGGAGGGATGGGGAGGGGTACCTGTGTGAGGGCGAACGGGTGGGACACGGGACTGACGAGGACCTGGCGCAGTTTCCCATTCAGGTCCGAACTTTCGATCCTGTCCAGGTGGGCGTCCACCCAGAAGATCCTGCAGAAAACATCGCAGATTAATAAACACACTTGTCTCTGTAAATACATTGAACATGCCTTCTGACTGCTGTGAAAACAAGAGATTAAACAACCTGTTTAAGGACAAGGACAAAAAGATTGAAAACCATACACTTATCTCAACAAACAAATATCTGAATGCTAATCACTGCACCAACATGCCGCCCAATCCAATTTGTTTTACAAGGCTACTGTTTGTAAAAAAGCCAGACAGGTAGCTCCTTCCATAAACATGCTTCCCTCTCTGACCTTCGTGTGTCGTAGTCCAGTGTGAGCCCGTTGGGCCAGCCCAGATCGGTGTTGATAAGAACCTTTCGGTCCGAGCCGTCCAGGTGAGATCTCTCAATCTTTGCAATGTGACCCCAGTCAGTCCAGAACAGGAAACTGCAGAGCAGAAGCGAAACTGGTGAGGAGACTCTCTATTGTGCAAAGGTTAAAAAACAACCATGAGAAACATCCCGACTAAAACTCCTCACTTAAGACTCTCTCCTTACCCTTTGCTTGGGAACACTGCAATCGCTCGGGGTTCATCCAGACTGTTGTTGACCAGGACTTTGCGGCTCGTTCCATCCAGGCGGGCCACCTCGATGGTGTTGCGCCCGGTGTCGGTCCAGTACATGTTCCTGGCCACCCAGTCTACAGCCAGCCCGTCTGTGGTCTTCAGGCCCTGGCTGATCACCGTCTCCATGCCGCTGCCATCCAAGTTCGCACGCCTATGGAACAAAGTAAAATTAATGCTGGTAATACTATCTGTCAAAGTAGTAATGTCAAGCATGGCAAACTTTATCCTGAATCTGTACTTGTTTCCATTATCTACTGTGTTTCTAAATCTCTAGATGACTGACACTGATTAAAATAAATCATCATTAAATAATCATCATAATTAATGTAATGAAAGCTATAACAGACATGACAAGTGGAAGTTTGCATGTAGACACTGTTCGTGTTCGCACCGTATAACATCCAGGGTGACATCGGTGTAGTAAAGCTTTCCGTCCACGCTGTCGTAATCCAGTGAGATGACGTTGTGTAGCTCGGGCACCGGTACATGCACATCTGTGTGGTCATTGGTGTCGAGGGAGATTCTGCGCACGCTGACGCGGTTGGAGAACAGCAGGAACGACTCCGGGGAGTCGTCACATGACCTGCCGTCTCCCTTGAGCAGGATGCCAGTGGGACAGGCGCAGGACGTGCCGTTGGGACGGGGCAGGCACAGGTGGGTGCAGCCGCCGTTCCTCCTGCCACACTTATTGAAACCTGGAGAGGACAGAGACAGGAGGAGTGATGCAAAGAAACACACACACCCTGCCGAAACAGAATGTGCGTGTACTCGAAGATGATTTCAAATGTTTCGAGGCAACATATAATTACTTGTCAATCACCAGGTGAGCTGCACATTATACAATCATCAGAAGCTAATTTGGGATCATCATGTAAAGAAATAGAGGAGGAGTGTAACACAGGCTGCTGAGCAATCTGAGAAATTCAGTAAGCTGTTTGATCAGCTGTGAAACTGAATCTGAATCCATTGTGTCGAGGAGGTCACGAGATATTGACTAGGAGATGGAAATTAAGGAAATGAGCAGTATAAATAGATGAAAACACGCCGGGCTATTTTAATTGACGCAGTCACACAGCAGACTGTCACTTGTGAACTAATTGGTGTTGAGTCAAACGATGACACAGTGCTTTATTATGAGCATAAATATTCTTTCATTCATACGACAGTCCTCAGACTCACCCAGAGGCCTCTCCCTGTCCACAGCCTGGATGTCCATCAGGCCCGGCAGGTTGGCTCGCACCGTGATGGTGTTGGTCCCCGTGTTCTTGTCAGCTCTCTGGATGCTGCGGCTCTGCCAGTCGGTCCAGTAGATGTGGGAGCCCAGCAGGGTTAAACCGTACGGGTGCTGGACTGGAGTCACGAGGGTGCGGCGATTCTGCCCATTCAGGTCGGCTGCCTCGATGCGCTGGAGAGGACCAGAGAAAAGAGAGGGATTATCACCGGGACTCCATTAATGTCTGATGCCCTTCATCTTAATGCATTTACATTTGAGTCAATTAGCGTTTCGCCGTTTAACCTTTAAATCTCCACTAATTTCTACAGACTTTAATTGTCTTTATATGCCTTGTCTGTTTTTAATTAAGTTGGTACATCATTATGAACGCTCCAAAACTGTTTCAGTACTCTTGCAAGCGTTAATTTCATTCTCGTCACTCACTGTGAGGCCCTTGTTTAAGAAGTGCTATACAGATATGGATTATTATCATTTTGAACAGTTCCACAGTGCACAGAGTGTAACAGCAGAATACAGTCACATTCTGGGTACACCAACATTACAAGTCCTTAAAGGGGCTCTATTCAAAATTCAGAGCAGGTGACTTTCTGGATAAGGTTCCTAACTTGGAGGAGGCTGAGCCAAAAGCTAGCAGCTAACATTGTTAACTCCACGTTGGCACACTGAGTCCAAAACTTTAGTCCGTCATTAAAAACTTTCAGAACAGGTTTGATTTTCTGCTTTTATCTCATTGGTCAGAGTCTTTAGAGACATTTGACCGAGAATCAGTGAAGAAAATGTGGCGATGGGACACAGCCGTGACAAGACAGAGGAACGGGGCGCATAGAATCATTTCATAACTCAGACAGATGATTTTTGAGGTGAAAGTTCACGTGAGTGTCATGAGAAGTGGCTGCTGACCTCAGTGTGAGCGTCAGCCCACAGTAACTGTGAGCCAGCCATGTCGATAGCCAGGCCGTTGGGCCAGCCCAGGTTGTTGCTGATGAGGACCAGGCGGTCTGATCCATCCATCGCAGAGCGCTCCAGCTTTGCATGCTCACCCCAGTCTGTCCAGTACATATAACTGGAAGGAGAGAGGGACACAGAGGTCAAAGGTCTGACAGACTGAAACTAGGACGGAGATATACTGATGAGAAAATGTTAGTTCATGAGAGCAAAGAGCATAGATTAGACAAGTAGTTTGGACAACAAATCCTAAAAGGTTAGTGGTGGTAATAATCAGTGAAGTGGAAGTCACAGTGCAAGATCTGGTTCCATCTCTACCAGTGTCAAAGCTGTCAAGTTACAGCAGCCTCACCCCATCTCATGGTAGAGGGCGATGGCTCGAGGGCTGTCCAGGCTTTGCCAGACGAGAACTTTCCTCATGGAGCCGTCGAGGTTGGCAACCTCAATGCGGTTGGTTCCTGTGTCCGTCCAGTAGATCTTCCTGCCAACAGCATCCACCGCCAGGCCATCAGTCGTCACCAACCCTACAGAGAGACACAGAGAGAGCAGCAGAGATGGAGTCACGACATTCTGATTGGGTGGAATTAAACAGTATCGTAAATGTGAGCCCTCCTCCTCACCTGTAGATATGATGTCTTCTTGTTCTTTTCCGCTGATGCTGGACCGGCTGATTTTCTTCAGCGTACTGTCAGACCAATAGACTTTTCCTGCAGGAGGCGCCACATACACGTGTAAGGACTCGCGTCTAACTTTCAAACAGGCACTTTAAAACTTTGAGAAGACACGAACCTTCTTTGGGGTCGACCCCGATGGCGATGGTGTTTTTCATGGAGCTGTTGACAGCCAGAACCACGTCAGCAAAGTAGGGGATATCCAGAGACACCATCCTGATGTCCGTTCTCCGTGCAAAGATCAGGAAGCTGCTCATCCCTGCACACACACACATCACAGCACCTTCAAGTGAGAATACAAAGGGGGCTGACATGCTTTTATCTTCCTGGAAGCAAAGGTTTTTAACGTAAGTCTTTGAACACCTCACTGTTTTGGGTTCAGTTTTCTACAGATATTTTTCAAGGGTTTTGTCACTGCTGTTGTTTTTTTAAAATTTGTAATTCATTCTGAGATAAAAACATTCAAATTTTTGGAACTACATGCCCCCTCATGTCTTTGGTGATGCTAAAACTAAGCATAATGTTGGTTTGGAGGTCAACAAGTTGCAGTATATGTGCGATTTTTAGTGTTCATGTCTTTGTATCATGATTAATCTGCACCATGAAGATCATTAGCATTATTAGCTACACCCAGTTACTGTTACTGTAAACATGGTGAACAGACAACCATTCTGGATTATTTTTGACACTGAAGACGAAGTATCGTACCAGGCGTGCAGGTCTTCCCATCTGTCTGCAGGTTGATCCCAGTGGGACAGGCACAGCTGGAGGCTTTGGGAGCAGGAGCCAGGAGACAGAGGTGGCTGCAGCCTCCATTATTCACTGCACACGGGTTTCGCACTACAGATGGAGACACACACAACAACTCAACTCACCCACTGTCCTACTTTTTCAGTTGGCTTTGAGGCGAGGGATGGAGAGGGAATGGGAAAAATTGGGGCAAAGAAAACAGAAACACACAACCTCCCTTAAGGGAACATAGGAAAGCCCCACACATCAGTGAGATCAGTGAGGTTTCAGTTTGGTATGAGTGCCTGAGGCTCTCTGGCCCCTCAGCCAGTGATCTGGGTTCAGTTTACCTGTAATCCTCTCAGTGTCAGCAGAGACACAGGATCTGAGCTCTGAGGACAGGCGGCAAAAATCAGAAGAGTGACAGGAGGAGATCTTTATCCTTGTCACAAGAGACTATAAGTCCAACAGGACACCTAAAGTTTAGTGACTCAATTCTCATTTTTATAGTTCATATCTTTGTACTGAGGCACACTGGATTTGAAATGAAATAATGACTATGAGTTTGAAGTGTGTGTGAAGTGAACTGAAGTGTGGATGAAAGGTGTTGGACTCAAAAGCCTTTTCATGCATCATCCTGCAATGCACCAGGACAATTATCCTATATATACACATGTTAAACAAGCTGAACAATAGTAAGATTTAAATTGTGATTATTTTCTGCAAACTAAACTAAACTAACATAACTTTGAGCCTCATGGGAAAAAAACAGATTTTTACATTTGACTGACTAACCCTTTACTGCTGTGCACTTTGGCCTCTGAAGCTAACACTAAAAGGACAGGCTGCTCCATAGCTCAGGACCCTGGAGGCCCATTCGTCAAGCTTGGGCTGAAATGACACTAATGATCGACTGGCTGGAGATCTTACGCCTGTCATGTCTAAAATCCAGCCCGGGGGCTAATTGTGGCCCACAGACTTGTATTTAACAGCCCTCGGATTGTCTTTCAAAATACACTATATCAGTGGGTCTCAAATGGTGTTCTGTGATGCAAATCCAGGTGTGCGGTGGGGTTTTGTGATAACCAGGCATTATTACTGCAATATTCAGCTGGGCCTATACAAAAAGTTAGGAATGAATTTTTAATTGACTGTATCACTATGGTGTGCACAGCCATTTCCTTACTACAGAAGCAAACAAATTAAAATAAAACTTTCACTGGGAACCTATTTGTCGCCGTTCACCTATAGGTATTATAAGTGCGTGACTCACCACCCTATCTTACATTATTTCCCGTATAAGTGGGTGTGTTATTGGTGCTTCGATGTAATTTCACAAAGTTTAAAATTAATTCTTGAACCATTTTGTAAACAAATATTTCATGAGTAATAGTTAGTTGTCAAACATTTACATAGTGATAAGAGCGATAACACACGTGATAGAAGCTATTGTGCACAGATATAAATAGAGGTGTGCCTTGAGATTGTGGCTCGCCCTTTAGAGTGCCTTGGCCACAAAACGTTTGAAAACCACTGTACTATTTGAGTAACACAATATTGGTTAATCAAAACTATCAACTGTATATGTACGCTTCAGTCTTGCTCTAAACGCACACAGACCTGTCTCTCGGTGCCGGTGAAACATGTGAATGTCCATGAGGTTCTCTAGGTTTTCTGCCAGTGTGTGCCGTCCTAAGCCGGTGAGCTTGTCAGCGCTCTGGATGCTCTTGGACTGCCAGTCTGTCCAGTACAGCTTGTCCTCATGTACAGTCAGGCCAAAGGGATGAGGCAGCTGGCTGCCAATCAAAACCTGAATGCACAAACAGAGGGAGAGCTCCGGTGAGATCTGTGAACATTCCTAAACATCTGCTAACAGTGTTTACACATAAACAGAAAAACCTGAAAGCAAATCTATTTTAAAGAATTTCTCAAACACATCAGAATAAATACAGTAACACTGTGAGAACAAAAATGAAAGCATTATAGCTATAAAAACACCCTTTACCTGTCGATCAGAACCATCAAAGTTGCCAAATTCAATAGTCTTCATGCCAGCGTCGGCCCAGTACAGGCGTTGGGTCGCATAGTCAATGGCGAGCCCGTTGGGCCACGTCAGATTAGATGAAATGATGACGATGCGGCTGGAAGCGTCCATTCCTGCACGCTCGATCTTTGGGTTGGCACCCCAGTCTGTCCAGTACATAAAACTATGGAGAAAGAATAAGACAAATGAGAAGGACTGAGTGTGTCATGCAAGCTCAAGTTTATATGCTACTTTTTATAAATTTAAAATCATCTCACCCTCCAATCGGATCAACGACTATGTCTCTGGGTCGGTCCAGGTTCTCCCAGATCAGGACAGTCCGCATGCTGCCATCAGCATTAGACACCTCGATACGATCTGTACCTGAAAAACCCAAGACATGACGTGACTGGTTGAAATCCCTGAGCACACACTGTCATGCAGGCGACTGCATGTAAGTATCAGAAATATGATGTTATGTGAAATAAAGCTGTTTACCAGCATCGGTCCAGTAGAGCTTGTTGGTCACCCAGTCAATCGCCAAACCTGCTGGGCTCTCCAGACTGGTGTCCACCACCACCTGGGAAAACAGGGACAACATAGATTTTAATTCCACCAGTTCTAGTTTCAATCAGACGCTACACCTACATTATCTTGTACAGAGACCAGATGTTGCACTTTCACATCCGCCCCAGCAGATGGCAGTATTGCATAAACTTAAATCCTGCTGCTCCCCTTTGTAAAGTCCAGGACAGACGAGAAATGACAGATCACTGCGGGGTTCAGTCAGACTGTACATGTCACTGACCTCCTGCTTGGTGCCATTCCACAGTGCTCTGTTAATGGAGTCGGTGGTGACGTCCGTCCAGTAGATGTAGCCGTCTTTGTCGTCCCAGTCCAGTGCCACAGCGTTGCGCACGTCAGCCAGAGGGATGACGTCATCGGACATGTCCTCTGTGTCGAAGCTGATTCGTCGGATGTCCGTCCTTCGGGCAAAAAGCAGGAACTTGTCAAGACCTGATTAAAGACCAAAGGTCTTCTGTCAGTCTTCTAGGTTTAACAGTGGGGTCAACAGTGAACACAGCAAAACAGCACTGACACACAGACAGCTATCAGCCTCACCACACTGACTGAATAATATCTGAAAACATAAACCTCCTCTGATATAATTATCTAGAATAACGGCAGTAAAAGAAATGTTTGCATGACTACAGGGTGTGTAAATGTCACATAATTCTGTTTCAAGCAATGCAACTGTCACAGGTTGCAAGAGAAAAAAGGATTCATTAAAACTTTGCCAAAATAAAGTCAATATTTTAGTGCAGCACTTCTTTAGTTGTACTGAACCGGAACATGTAATTGAACTTGTTCCATTGGTTAAATTTCACTTAACTGGATGTCGTGTAAATTTAGTTTCCTATTACAGCCGACACCTTGAGACTGATCAGGAAGATTAACAGCGTGTTACAGGATTATCTTGACACTGACACTCAGTGACTGACTTACTGACACTGACAGTTCAGTCAATAAAAGTGCAGACACTTCCTAAACTACTGCTGAGGGTTTGTCTTTAAACTTTATGAGCCACAGGAAAAGATTGAGACCATGTGGCAGACGATAAGAGGTGACATTAAACTTTTTTTTTCCTAATAAAAATTCATTAAAAAATAGTGAATTCAGCCACCAGGACACAAACGTAGTTGTGGGTGTCTTGTAGTAACCGCTTACAATTAAAGAAAATATCAAACTATATTCAAATGCATTCAATAAAACTGGTAACTGGCTAAAACTGTTGTTACTGTTTCATAAATATTACACTAACTTAATTCATTCACTTAATTATGCCACAAACTACAGTTCCAGATGTTGAGGGTCTCACCGTTGGCACAGTTGTTGTGGTCCACCTTCTTGAAGCCGGTGGGACAGGCGCAGGTATGCGTCTTGTTGCTGGGGAGACACAGGTGGCTGCAGCCTCCGTTGTTGGTGCCACAGCGGTTTCTGCCTCCTGCAGGAGAGACGGACACACACAGCTCAGGGTGTGATGATGGACTGTAATATATTCAAATTAGTAATATTTGGTACCCAACCAGGACCTTGGCTGCATGCCCTTCTCTCGCTTCATTGCCCAGGTCCAGCAGCGTACTGAATGAATAACATTTTAAGATAGACCTATAACAAATAAGTGAATAACCTAAAAGCCTAAAATCAATAGAACACATAATAAAAAACAAAGCAGCATGTATTATAGTACATAACAGTGCATCAACAGCTGCATGCAGTCGCAGCAGTACAAAGTGCAGAGGACAGACTTTAAGCCAGAGTATTCATAAGCCTCACAGCCTCTGGGAAGAAGCTGCACTTTAGCCTCACTGCTGTTTTAGAGCAGGGGTGTCAAATATACAGCCCGGGGGCCAGAACCAGCCTGCCAAAGGGTCCAATCCAGCCACCTGGATGACCTTGCACATGTAATAGTGATGCACTTGTGAAGGCTAAGAGGTGCCAGGTTTCGTGATCAAGGTAAAAATCGACTTATTTTTTTTCATGTAAAGTTTTTCACCCTGACCAGAATGTCAGGATTACTACACAGGAGTGGAAATGTACAGAAATATTGTTGAAATTGAATTTATTCTTCTGAAGACATCAGGCTGCTTTGTAAATGGATTAGCGTTTTTATAATGTACTTCTTTAAAACAAAAAAAGGGAGTCGTTTGTTATGTATAGGACATTATGCAATGGTTTTACTGGTCCGGCCCATCTGTGATCAAATCGGACTGCATGTGGCCTGTGAACTAAAATGTGTTTGACACTCAGGAATATTCTTATTCAACAACAATGTCCCCTCCTAGTCTTGATCCGGCTCATCTATCTATACATTTTTATTAAATATACATGTGGTAAATAGGGGAGGTGCTAATCCAATAATAATTTTGTGAATTAAATAAGCTTTTGAGTGAAATTTAACCAGCAAATAAAGACCATATTTAGGAAATATACTACAATGATGATAGCTTTTCTTACTATATGTCGAAAACTCTGTGTGTGTGTGTGTTCCACGTTTTTCTCCTCACTGACTTCAATCCATGTGAAATTTGGCACAGTGGTAGAGGGTCATGGGAGGATGCCAATGAAGCAATATTACATCAATTGGACAAAGGGGGGCGCTATAGCAACCCAATGAAATAACAAACTTTGAATGGGCATATCTCATGCCCCGTATGTCGTAGAGACATGAAACTTTGCACAGAGATGCCTCTCCTCATGAGGAACACATTTACCTCAAGAACCATAACTTCCGGTTATAGAGATTTTCCACCATTTTGAATTTTTTGAAAACACTTAAAATCAATCTCTTCCTAGGAAGTTTGAGCGATCTGCATGAAACTGGGTGAACATAATCTAGGGACCAATATCTAAAGTTCCCTCTTGGCAAAAGTTGGAAAACTTACTAAAACTGAGCTTCTATAAGGCAATGACTTTAACTATCTGCCTTTCAACGTGCTACCTCAACTACTAATGTACAGTTTTAGCCCACTAACTATCCCACTATTGGCAATGGTACTACTGTACTTTCAATAAAGCAATCATGCTATCAAATTCACACTCTGTCTGAATACATTGCTCTTCTTAATGGGTTCACTTGACTATTTAATCTGCAAATTCCTATGACCTGTATCCCAAACACACACCATGTGAAACTGTACGTGGGCAACTGTGCACTCAATGGGTATGGACTAGTAGGTTTATGATCTTCGACCTTGAGAGCTTGTCTGTACACAGATTGTAGAGGCTTTATTATTGTATCAGAGGCCGAGAGGTTAAACAGTATTTTACGTGTGAGAAAGTCAAAGGACAGAATATTTTTCCGTTTTAAAAATACAATCAACTACACAGCCACTGCAGAGTTTCGGTCATCTGTTCTAAATGTCACACAGTGCGTCTGGATTTCACTCCAGCTTTGAAGCCTTTGTTCAATTGCTGCAGAGTTCAGATGTGTTCCACTCACACATGATTCACTCAATCTACACCAAAACAAAAGGAATAGTTCCTGACCTCCCTCTGCCAACACAGAGGCAGCTCATAGTTTATATTGGTGTCCGACTGTTAGAATATTTTATCAGCATGTCAACCAAAACTTTCTCTTGGCCAGAACTCAAGTTCAACACGGTATGTTAGCAAAGAACACAAGTCTTTGTTATCACGCTGATAAAACACCTCAACCGGCCCATTCACCACATGGTCCAACACTACAGCAACAAATCATTCTACCATCTCTGATGCTGCCACCATGTGGGAAAAAAATCTTCACTTCTGTGCACAATAAAACCCTCTGAGAAGGCTCCTAGTTTCCGTGTGTGCGCGTCAACCCACTCATCTTCCAGCCTCTAATGTCGAGTTTAATTTTTTTGTTGTTCAGCATTTTGTTTTCCTGCCTGCTGCAAGTCAACATGATCTACTGCTGAAAGCTGCAAAAGTGGATGTTTTCAGAAATACTTCCATTGTTTTAACCCACAATTCACCCACACACACAAAGAAACAACCACAGACAGATTTGAAGGGATGTGGGATGAACCAGTGGCTATATAAGGAGCCACTGAGCCTCATGAATGGAGAACACTGGTTTTCCTTTGCTTTCAGCTCCAGCTGGGATCATGTACAGTATAATATCTCTGCACGTCATTTCATCCATACATTGCACACCATACGTCGGTGTGTTTTTGTCACCAAAAAACAGGTGGAAACATCAAAATGCATTCATCTAAACCACTGAAACAACAAATGTGTTTCAGACAGCTCATTGACGTCACAGCAGAGCTTTTCCGAAAGACTTTGAGTGCTACACACAACTACCAGCTCAAATTACTGATAATTTTGCGTTTTGCCTCTGACTGAAAAACCTTGATAAAAACACAGAATGTAACATCAATATGGGCTTCTGCCATTTCTCACTGCTGCTTGCACAAAGCTCAGAACTGTGTATTGAATCCTTCCACTGCAAAGCTATTGATTGCTCTGTTTCAAGTCACTGTTTTGTGACCTTCCTGTCATTTGACAACAATGGCAGAAAAAATATGATCATCACACTGACACAGCCTTTGATAAAATGTGTTGAAAGAACTGCAGAACAGTTTGTTCTGGCTTCCACAATGTTGCAATTCCGCCTTACATTTAATTTCGCTCCCATCTGTCCTCTGATCCTCCCACAGAGGACCCTGTCTGCTCTTACTCAAGAAGTGTATTAATAGTTATTGCAAAATTTCATGGAATTTTAACTAGGGCTGCTCCCTAATAGTCAACCAGAAAGATCATTAGTCGGCAAGACTTCATTGGTTGCTTAGTCGCAGAAAAAACAAAACAACAAAAAAAAAAAAGAAAAAAGAAAGAAAAGAAACTCTATCAAGAGCAGCCAAAATAAATCCAAACCTATATGACTGGACCATGTGGGAATTTAATGTGAAAGGACAGACACAGGAAGTGTCCACGCTCAGCAGTCTGACAGGAGTCAGGTTAATTTCCAGGGCTGGTACCTGCGGTTATTCCACAGGCTAGTTAATAACATGTCGGGCAGGAAATCCAAAGTGTGGGATCATTTTGAGAAGGTGAAGGACGAACCCAAGGTGATATGTAAACTCATCTTCATTGGTCGACTACAAACATGACGTATCATCTGAAACATGGAAGTAGCTACATGCCCATTAGCCCACAGCGTCATTAACAGGCGGCTCGCTCAGTGTGTGACATGCACTTGTAGATAAAATATAGGCCTATATTAATGAAGGTTCATTAGTACGGTTTTGTATTTCTCTGTAATGTAGCACAGTGTTAACAATGTTACTGATACTATTCTTTCTCACACCTTCAACTCAAACCACCAAAATATATCATTTAATCATTACATTAATATCAGAAACATGCGGCTGACTAGTTGACTACTGGCCCTAAATGATGACTGTTGGTCGACTTGGAATATTCTTAGTCGGGGGCAGCCCTTGATTTAACAAACTTAAAATGTAGTACCGACCTGCGGGCTGCCTCTGGGGGTGCAGGGTGTGGATGTCCATGGGGAAGTGCAGCTTGTTGCGAATGATCTCCTGGTTCTTGCCGGTGAATTTATTGGCGCTGTTGATGCTCTTGGTGTGCCAGTCAGTCCAGTATAGGCTGTCCTCAAACACTGTGATGGCAAACGGGTGAGGTAGGCCTATGTAAAGAGACAAAAAGAGAGAAAAATGTCAGAAAGGCTGAGAGATGCTCAATGAAGCATTTAATAAAACCAGAATCACACCAGTAACATTTTCCAGAAACAATGAGCTGTTTTTTAAGGGACACAAACAAACACAGGCGTTAAATCTGACACCTTTATAATGAACAAAAAATAATGATCCTGTGAAGTTCATGTGCACATTTATATCCAAACATTAAAAAGATGGAAAGAACAAATGCTGCATTTGGCTTGTTCCGCCAACGCTCTCCAAACATCCTCCCATTCAGCGCTGTGGGCTTGGCTGATGTCATAGCGTCCCCATTTAGAGCTGCTTTCAATTACTCTGCCTCTCATTGGCCTGTAGCTGGTTTAGTTGTGGCCAGGGCGGCCAAAAGCAGAGAAGCTCCATTGGTTTCCTTAAGTAATGTGACTTTTCCATCCAAATTCTGAGATCATGGACGAGGACAGCCTTTAAACCCGGGTCAGACTGGTACAAGACACTGATACTGGACAGGAAGAGGCCAGTTCTCCTCTTAGTCTACCATGAAATGTTATTTACTTTGTAGATTTTGATTATTTTACTTGAAGACTTTAATCTGAAGGACAGTCATACTGGATATTCAAGATTGTGTGTGTATACAGTGTGCTCCAATCCAAAGAACTGGTGTCGTTTGATGTCTAAAAGAGGCTTTTTGAGCTTAAAGGGGAACACCACCTCAGTTAAGAATTCCAATGTGTTATTTCCATGGCCTAGGAAAGTTTAATCAATATTTGTAGGCATCTGTTTCTCTCTCAGAGCCAGAAACCAGATAAGTGGGTCTCAAACTTATGAGTCATCAAGTATGAAGTCTGGAGCTGCTTCATAGACAATGAATGCGGACCAACAGAGTGTTTGTTTTCTTTTTTAAACCCCAAATGAGCTTTACTCTACTGCAGTGTTCTCAGTTCTGAAACAAAAAATGTACCCATATACTCAGAGCAATCCCCTGAGTGCTCTCTGTGTCATCTAGAACAACTTTACCGATTCACTGGGATGCATGATAATATCAGCATGTCATCAGCCAATATCACAATCGGAATCGGCCAACATGCTTTTTCTTATTTTGCACAATGAATAAATATTACAAACATTGAAAAGTGGTATATTTCATGTCTCCATCTGCTGGTGGGACATCATATACATGTATAATATGATGTTAATTCCACTATAGAAGAGACTTGATGATCACTAAAATTAAGTGGGGAAAAAATGGATATATCGATAACAGTATTGGTAAGTTTTTATTTTGGATTTTGGAGAGTTGCTCATGTTTACCTATATTTTTTTACTGTCTTTGACCACTGGAATAACATGTATGAATTTTGAAAATGGGCGTAGTTCTCTTTTAAGCACAGAATACTTTGGCGGACATGGGACTTCTCTTATTGGCCTTGTTGTGTTGAATATTTCAAAAACAGGATGCCATAAACATTTCAAAGTAAATGAGAAATACTCAAAGTTACAGTTATAACAGTCTTGCTCAGTGGTTCCCATCTGGTCCAGCCAGGGGGTCCAGATTCTCCCATAGTCACTAGTTAAGGTCCACACAGTTTAATATATTCAGCATCATACTTGCGTTTGGACATGTCGTCCAGCTAGTTTGCTGTCTCTGTCAAGGAGCTGTCCGTTAGTCACTCACTCTATAGCAGAAAACGGCACTTCAAAATAAAAGTTCTGTACCGAAAATTCACTATACTACTATAATAAAGTGCGTTATTTATGAACTTGACATGTGGCGAGTCACTTGAGGTGCATTCAGAACAGACTCATGACCCACCAGTTGGGAACCACTGGTCTAGCCGATGTCACTTTGTGTGACATTTTGTCCCGCTCACTTCAAATCAGTAAGAAGAATGCAGAGAAAACATAAATACAAGAATCATTCATGTCTAAAATCCATGTGTCATTGCTGTACTTTTTGGTACCTAAGAGGTTACAGCGCATGTGGCACTACTGCAACGCCCCTGGTTTGAATCCACCCTGGGACCTCTCCGTGCATTTCCAAACTGTCTCTGCTCTGTCAAATATGAAGGCAAAAATGCCTAAAAACAATCACAAAAAGAAAAAAAATATTTATTACAATGTGTTGTTCCAACTTTGGCAGATCATAACGCGCTCCTATAAAAACCCACTGCTTGTAGTAAGTGAAGCTGATTGTGAAAATAAGTTTCAGGCCTTTGGCTACATTTAAAACTTAAACTGAGGCTTTGAATGTCTGACTGTTTTTGTCTTTGTAAAAACTGTTCACTTGTGTCCAAAAGCATCAGTGTTCACATCCTCTATCAGTGCAACCCTGGCCTAAATACTAACATGTGTAACAGGGAACTCCTCGCAGATTTGGCTCCGCTGGGAACATCTGCTCGGGCTGACTCCTCCACACTCGTCCAAAAACACTTTGTCTTTCTCTCTCCAGCTTAATCCTCCACTGGTGAAGTAGCTGCAAAACCAGTGTGGACGAGAGCGCTAAATGGCTGGAAAAAGTGATTTCTGTGACTACACAGGGCAGCGGCGGCGGTGGTGGTGGTGGTGGAGGTGGTAGTGGTAGTGGTGGTGGTGGTGTGGCGGGCATGCTGGTGCAGGGCTTTTAAAAACAGAGCTGCTCATTTAATGACAGTGTTTTACAGCACGGCACAAATGTCAAGTGGTAAATGGCTAAAAGTGGAGAGAGACCAGAATGATAACGAGCCACGAGGACCAGAGTGATTGTGTGTGTGTGTGTGTGTGTGTGTGTGTGTGTGTGTGTGTGTGTGTGTGTGTTGGAGTGTAAAGCTCAACCATTCAAAAGTTTTATCATTTTAATCTTTTTATGTATTTTATGAGCAACAAACTATTTAGTAATGCCTATTTGGTTGGCATGTACATTAGTGCAGAATGCATTTTACCTCAGTTTACCCTCAGAAAATGTTTCCTAATAGCTCAAAGCTTTGTTCAAAGTTGGAAGTAATTAAATTATCTAGAGCAGGCAGAACTCTTCATGAGTGTTTTTCGCCCCCTCAGCAGCAGTTTGTGGAGTTTGAGTCCCTAGCAGAGTAACTGATCAGATCACATCAATGGATGAGAGGAGCAGCTGCTGCAGAGGCGAGGGGGGTGGCCTCGTGGCCCAATTGTTGAAAAACGTGCGCGATAAAGTGCCCTCTTGGCAGCCAAAGTGCCCTCCTGGGAGCCAAAACGCACGCTAAAGTGCCCTCCTGGGAACCAAAATGTGCGATAAAGTGCCCTCCTGGGAGCCAAAACGCACGCTAAAGTGCCCTCCTGGGAACCAAAATGTGCGATAAAGTGCCCTCCTGGGAGCCAAAACGCACGCTAAAGTGCCCTCTTGGCAGCCAAAGTGCCCTCCTGGGAGCCAAAACGCACGCTAAAGTGCCCTCCTGGGAACCAAAATGTGCGATAAAGTGCCCTCCTGGGAGCCAAAACGCACGCTAAAGTGCCCTCCTGGGAACCAAAATGTGCGATAAAGTGCCCTCCTGGGAGCCAAAACGCACGCTAAAGTGCCCTCTTGGCAGCCAAAGTGCCCTCCTGGGAGCCAAAACGCACGCTAAAGTGCCCTCCTGGGAGCCAAAATGTGCGATAAAGTGCCCTCTTGGCAGCCAAAATGTGCGATAAAGTGCCCTCTTGGCAGCCAAAGTGCCCTCCTGGAAGCCAAAATGTGCACGAAAGTGCCCTCTTGGGAGCCAAAAAACACACTAAACTGCCCTCTTGGCTGGTTAAAACATGATAAACTGCCCTCTTGGCTGGTTAAAACATTACTGTTGCAATGACTTTTATGTTGGGCCCTTTTCATCTATATTGAAACAGAACTATATCTCACAGTACCAGTTTGGATTATCACCATATTAGCACCAGATAATATATATATACAAACTAACTTGAGTAGTCTGTCTAGTGTCTGATTTTAATTAAAAGATGAACAGATTTTGGAAGACATGGAAAACACTTTATGGGCGCCCAGTTTTTTTTTATATTTTTTTTAAATTAAAAAAATTTTGTATTAATTTATCAACTTGTTAGTAATGTGTTGTATTTAATTTCCTGTGGACTTGGACCTTGATGACTACAATTGCAATGCATACCAAGCAGAAAGCTCCAGGGCTGATAAATGAAGCCAATGCAAAAAGTACCAAAAACTGCAGTTCCTTAAATGGCCACTTGAGGCTGGCTCCAGAAGAAGAAATGTCCAACTTTACAGCAAAAATAAACAGGTTTACAGCCTGGTACAAAAATCTAATTTGGTCTCTACAGCTAGTTCCCTATTCATGACAGCTATACGGGGGGGGGGGGGGTACCAATCCCAAAACAATATTCTGGATTAAAAAACAGACAAAATCATGATTCAAATCAGGAACCGTTTGGTCAGAGAATATTGAAAGAAGTGCAAAGTAATTTTGTGAGTTATTACAAAAAATAAACAGTGAAGACATCTGAAATCAATGTGTGTAAAGTTTTCCGTATCGCTCCTCCACAGACAGGTCCAGGTGTGTTCGAGGTGATGCCGGCTGAATGTGTGTGTTTTCTGATCTTATCCTAACATGAGGGAGACAACAGTGCACCCTCTTCCTTCCTCTGAGTCATCCACATCTACGAGGCGCCTGGTTTTGATACGGTCACCTTCTTCTTTGTCGTCTCTGCGCCCCCCCACTCCCACCCCTCCTGCTCCTGTTTTCCGGGACAGCTGGAGGAGCAGCTGCAGGCCGACAGGGCATCAAACGTCCCACCAGCCTTCACAGTAATGTCCCCTTTAACCTACATGTGGCACTTCCCAGTCTTTTCACGCCTTGCCTGAATCTGTCACACTCTCTATCTTCAGGTCATTGGCGACACCTCATGTCCACGTGGACAGAAAGCTGCTCAGCTTACAGCGTGATGGACTGCGACATGGAGAAATTTTGGTGGTAAACTGTTTGATGTTTCCTTCTTGAAACGCATTCCTCTTTAAGCTAACTGGATTTTTATGTCATTTACAAAAAGACAAACCAAGTAAAACTACTGTGATGCTACTTTCTGTCGTGTGTGTTTGTTTGTGAAGCTGAACAATAGAAAAGCCCACCCTGTCCAAACTCAGAACTTCTACTGGAAATTTAGGCATGACATTATAAAAACATCATTAAGAAATAGTTAATTGATTGTTAATTACATTTTAGTTAATAGTTATTTTACTGTTATTAATTTGTTTGTTAACAGTCAATTAACTATTAATTTACCATTTATTAATAATGGTTATTACAAAGTGTAACCAAAATGCATACTTAATAATTCACAATATTGAAGCTGAGAAGATGATGTCATCACAAAAATGGTAGTAAAACAGACAAATCAATGAAATAAAATTAATCATAAAGACTAAAAGTGAACCTGGTTAGCCCTGTGTATGATTTCAGTGGTGAAGGGACCTGTACAGACCATGGGTCTCATTTATAAACATTGCGTACGCACAAAACGAGGCCTGAAAGAGGCATACGCCACTTCCCACACAAAAGTTGTGATCTAAAAAAACAGTAGGGCTACATCAATTAGTCGACTAATTGATGACTAATAGACTATTAAACTAATCGGTGACTATTTCAGTAGTCGACTAATCGGTTTGAGTCATTTTTCATAGAAAAGTACTATAAAAGTGCCCCAAAATACTCTTATTGCGGCTTCTTGAGTTCAGATATTGGCAGCTTTACACACTCCATGACGGTGAACTAAAACCCTTTGGCGTGAATATGAAACAAGACATTAGATGACGTAATTTTGGGGTTTGGGAGAGACAGACCGACATTTTTCAACATTTTAACACATTTTTCGATAAAATGATTAGTCGACTAATCGAAGAAATAATCGACAGATTAGTCGACAATGAAAATAATTGTTAGTTGCAGCCCTAAAAAACAGACTCGATGGGACAATCTTTAACTCATGTCTGCAAACATTTTGGAAACGGGAAATTGGCGACGCAGATGAGGTGAGAGCCTGATTGTAGAAATTGTTGAATGTTTTTTTGCACATGCCATTATTGGCTTTTGTCTGTACGTCCAAGAACGAATGGCTATAATATAATTTTGGTTCGGTGGCTCAAGTTGCTACGCCAAAAATAAATTGTTTTAAGGGGTGCTGTGGTCTAAAAAAGTTTGGGAACCACTGATTAAGACCAAAACAGATTTTTTTTAAAAAAACTAATCACATTTTCTTTTCTTTTCTTTTTTTTTAAGATATTATTTTGGGCATTTTTGCCTTTAATGCACAGGACAGGTAAGTATGAAAGGGGGAGAGAGAGAGGGGATGACATGCAGCAAAGGGCCACAAGCTGGATTCAAACCCGGGCCGCTGCAGCAACAGTCTTGTACATGGGGCACCTGCTCTACCACTAAGCCACCAACGCCCCCTAATCACATTGTCAAGCCACTGTTTTGACTTGGTGACACCTGGTGGCAGTGTCAGAAAGCACTGTGACATCCTCTCCAGAGGAAGCACCTTTTCCACTACTTTATCTCCATTGTCACTTTCAGGGAATAATACCTCTGCACACTTAATATCTCAATCTAGTTGGCCAATTCCCATAAATTTAACGAGCACATTACTTCCCTCCAGAGGAAGAATGCTTTATATTTTTATGACCCCACTGCAGAGTAGACTTATTATTGTAATAGGCAATAACTGTGTATGATAGTGAAATTTAAGACTTTATGTTAAGACCTGTTGTCCACAAGGGGGCATTGTTCTGCTGGTGTCTCAAAATAACTTCTTATAGGACTGACTGGAGGTCTAGTGTATCGTCATGCAGCAGACGACTCATTGTGAGGCATCACTGCAGTAAACAGCATTTGTCCTCAGGCAGATGTACTCTATGATCACGCACACACACACATATACACAAGCAAGCACAAGGGAACACACACAGCCCCTTCTCTTCTCTTCCCCCATCTGCACAGGTGTGCAGACTGGATAGCGGCGTTATCCGTGACACCCGCCTCCTGTCCGGCTCCAATGACAGAGGAGCTGGCACACATCCAGCTAACATGGTCTCTCTCTCTCTCTCTCTCTCCCTCTCTCTCTCTCTCACACACACACTCACACACACACACAGAAAACTATAGGTGTAGGAACATAGACACTCATTAACATTCCTGGACACAGAGGCTCTGAATGTAACTATGCACACACTCACACACAGACACACGCACACGCACACGCACACACACACACACACACACGCGAACGTCCCATTTGCCCATTTGTCCGGCGTGTTGTCTGAGCAAAGAGAGGCTGTGGAGGAAGGACAGGGCCAATTACAGCCTTTTATCCTGAGAGCACACATCATTAAGGAGAGCTCACAGGGCTGATGGCGCGCACACACACACACACACACACACACTCTTAAACACTCTTGATCGTCACTCACTCTTCCACACTTGTTTCACTTCATCCGGGAAAAAAAAAGAGAAAGGTCCCAAACTGGAAGCAGCTAAACCTGATAAATGTACAGACGTAATGGACACATCTTACTGCAACACGAGGCCTCAGAGGAAGGCCAGAGTGTGTTTGTGACTGATCAGTAATCTGCCTTCTTACGTCTGGAAATGCCAGATCCCCACTTTAAGTGCATACACACAGCGTGGGCTTCACTGTAGGAACCAACAACATAAACAGAGGCACGCACAGCTTTACATTGTTATTTATGGAGTCTGTGTGTGTGTGTATGTCAGTGGTAGGCACATGCCTATGCTCTTTAATGGAAATATGGCATTGATTAACTCCACATTGTATAATGAAGTAGCGTCAGCATGCTACATCTTATATCTATCCCCTTGTGTGTTTGTGTTTCTTTGAGTGTGTGTGTGTGTGTGTGTGTGTGTGTGTGTGTGTGTGGTAATTAATGAGGATCTGAAGTCCCGCCAGACCTCTGCACACCACATCTCTCCTATTACTCTCCAGCTCACTCAAAGCTTTCAATGAAAAAAACAAGACACCAGAAATATGGTTGGAGATGTTTACATTTCTGCTACACCAATCCTGCTTATTGATTCTTGGTTCCAGTATGTCACACACACCAGAGGCCTCAATTTTCTGAAGATTTCAGTTACCATGATTTCTGTGATTCTTCCGTGCTTCCCCCAAAATATCTAAACCAAGTGCCAGATAATCTCCATCAACAATGAGACCACGGTATTATGGGTTGTCTCATCCTATCTGCCTGGACTTGTGCTGAACTACTGCAGTTATAATTGTGTTAATGCAAACATAACATGTCATAGTGTTACAGCATAAGTAGGGATGCTTGATACATATTGGGCCGATAAATTATCAACCGATAATGGGACAGTTTTATAACTATGCATTATTCGTTGACTTAACAAGGGAGCATCTACACACCTGACATAGCAGGTGTTGGTACATGTACCTTTAAACTTGGTTTGCGAGCCGCCAATAAACACAGAGAAGAAGAACAACAACAACTGTCTAGAGGGCAAAACATGTCGCGGTGTGGACATCTTTCACAGTTCCAGAGGGAAACAACAGGGTTGCGCAGAGGGTCTGAACCCGGACCACCCGACACCAGTTAGACACAATGCTGAAGGACCATCTCCAGAGAGTTAGCACGAGCTAATTAGCAACAGCGGCTAACATCCAACACCAAGCTTTTAAAAGGCTCATTATCGGTTGAAAAAATCCGTATCAGTGCATCCCTATGAATATGTAAAGGTTTCCACCAGCCAGCCATAAGGCTTTTATTGTGAAGCAGCTGCAGCCTCCTCTAGCCTTTACTGTTGAAACTGGCAACTGCAGAGTCCTTATGTGAGGAACTGTATCTTCATTAAAGATATGGAAATTTTCGGTATAATTTTGCAACGTTCTTTTAAAGATTAACAGAAAAACAGCCACAGTGAGCTAATAAGATGTAGAGTTGCAGGCAACAGGTGCTAACCACAGTTTGAGCCATCATTAAAAAGCATTTTGCCAATTTTGTTGTACTAATAAACACCTGTACTGCGATATCTGGAAGAGTTTATGAATGTTTCAGCCCCATTATTTAGGCACCAGTTCCCCTCCATCATAAAAACCCTAAACATGTATGAAACTGTCAAGGAAGGAAGTGGAGTTGTATGTCTATACTTTGCTCTACAGATATCAATAGCAGAACCAAAAAGCTTGTTTCTTAACAATATGTCAGCTCTATCAGCAACAAACAATTCTGAACTTCCTTGGTGCTAGACCCCGGAGGTTTACCTTGGCTGATGACGGCCTTGCGATTGCGTCCATCCAAGTCTGCCCTCTCGATGACATGGTGCTTGGCGTCCACCCAGTACATGCGGCGGCCAGCGTAGTCAATGGTGAGGCCGTTGGGCCAGAACAGGTGTGTGTCTGCGATGACCCGCCGGTTGGAGCCATCCATGTTGGCGTACTCGATGCGAGGTGTGTTGCCCCAGTCCGTCCAGTAGATCTTACTGAGGTGGAAAGTGGGACGGTCACAGTTAGTTTACTTGTTGTTTACTTATTGTTCACTTGTTGTCAGGAGGTAAACAGATTGCCGTCAGGATTTAAGACACAGCTGGTGCCTGATTAAATAAAAAGTCTCCTCTGTCCTCGACATTCATGTCCTCCTCATCATCATTCATCTGCTCTGACCGACCTCAGAGGGGAGAGCTACTTTTTTTAATATATTTTTCAATTATCCCATGCAAATGAGCTGCCTAATAAGCTGAATGAGTTTTCCAGCTTAAAATTTCTCTGGGGCTTCATCTAAAACTCTTTCCTGCCACTGCAGCATATGAAGCCGGGGATGAAAACACACTTAACTGCTGCCCCTTTCATGAAATACTTGTTCCACACAGATGCTCACCTGTGGGCACTGCTGTGCTGCCAAACTTTAATCCCTGCTCTGCTGCTACAGTACAATACAACTGGGACACATCCAGAGGGGATATGTATATATGAGTGTGTGTGCATTTGAAACCATCTGTAGTGAATTATACAGTTTGGGTGTGTGTGTGTTTGGACTCGTACCCCTCGATGGGGTGCAGAGCAATGGCTCGGGGCTTCTCCATGTTCTGCCACAGCAGCACCTTGCGGTGTGTCCCGTCCAGGTTTGCCACCTCGATACGGGACGTTCCTGAGTCTGTCCAGTACAACTTGTCATGGATCCAGTCTATGGCCAGTCCACCTAAAGAGAAAGAAACATTTGAATGTTGACAGAATATGGGCCTATTTTATATTAATTTGTGCTATGTCATGTTTTACAACAGTCATTTTTAAAACTGTCTCCACTAGTGCAGTGTCAGTTCAAAACGTGCCTGTTCGGTACGGACTGATTGCTGATTGCAGCTTTCTCTAAAGCCACTCATCCAAACAACTTCATACTCAACACTGTATTTTGCTGGGTCCTAATCAATACACCTGCCATGACATCATTGCATCCCCCAGCAGCTGGAGTATACATGTCCTTTGCTAACAGCTAGCTATTTGGGATCAGGCTATTTCCAGGAATAAAATACTCATTCCAAAAGTTTGATTACTGATACTTAAAATGTTGCAATGTGACATCAGCTCTCTCTGTCTTCCTCTGTTCATTCATTCATTCTCCATAACCGCTTATCCTGTTGGGGGTCATGGGGTAGCTGGAGCCCATGCCAGCTGACGTTGGGCAAGGGCGGGGTCGCCACTTTATCGCAGGTCTGAAAGCGATAGATATAGATAGATATGGACTGTGGGAGGAAGCCGGAGAACCCGCAGAGAACATGCAGACTCCACACAGAAGGGCACCCTGGATTCTACCCAGGAACCCTCTTGCTGTGAGGCGACAATGCTAACCACTGCACCACCCTGACGCCCTCTTCTTCTGTTCTTAAATGTATTGTGGCAAGTGACGGGAGCGAGCTGTACCCAGAACGCAGTTCCGCGGTGTAACAGTTAAGAAGGGTCCCCTCTCAATACACAACACACCACTAATTAATATGTCCCGTAGATCTCAAGAGTTCCCATTCGACACTACAACTTCCTTGGATCGTCAGCAATACACCCGCCAAGTGTGAAGTCGATCGGATGCACTGTTGTCAAGAAAATTGAAGGACAGACATACATAGAGAAACACAGATCGACCGACAGAGACTTTTTCCATTTTTAGTTAGCTGTTTGTCTTAAACACAAAAGATCCGTGTTGGCAAATGCTTTAAGTGTATCATCAGTGGTTGTATTTTCCACTTTGGACAGACCAGGTTGGCTGTTTCACTCTGCTTCCAATGTTTATGCTAAGCTAAGGAAGCTAAAATACAACTTTAGCTCAAAGCTTGACACAGATACAAGGTTATTATCGATCACCTCTGAGTTAGTTTTTATAAGAAGTCAAATAAATGTTTTTCCCACAATGCTTAACTATTCCTTCAAGTGTCATTTCACTGTATGTACTATTTACTTTAGTCTCCATGTACATGCTTTTACAACGTGTGATCTGAGCATCATGACATCAGTAAAGTTTAAAAAATATAAGTTAAAATGTAAAGAAGAAAAAAGTGGTGCCAGAGAAAGTTACTAAAGACAAAACAAGCAAGAGGGTCAAACAGACCAAGAGGGACACAGAGAGTACATAAGAACCAGAGATACTGAAGCAAGATGCAAGAAAGTAAAGAAAAAACATGGAGAGTGGAAATAAGACAGAAAGAACTGAGTCTGAACAGCATTGATGTCATACTGCTGAACTCATATATGAAGAAGGTGATTGATGAAGTGAGTGGGAGCAGAGTATACTTGGACAGAAAGCAGCCGAGTTTAATAAATGGGATGAATGACAAATGGGCCTGTTGTCCTACATGTGAACCTGCATCCGATTGGCTGCTGTACCCACCTGGGCTCTCCAGACCAGTGGAGACGACCTCCTCCACGTTGGAGCCGTTGAGGTTGGCCTTCATGATGCGGTCCAGCGTCACGTCGGACCAGAAGACCAGCTCGCGACTGTGGTGGAAGTCCAGGGCGATGGCATTCTCCAGGTTGTTGAGCAGCAGGGTGTACTCGGAGCGGTGCGGCAAAACCTGACGGATGTCGATGCGGTTGGCGAACAGCAGCACCGGCTCTGGACCTAAAGGAGGTCGGAAAGACCAACAGGAACGATGTGAATTAAAGTGGAAAAGAAAACAGTGAGAAACCAAACATGAAGTGAAAGTTGGAGAGTAAGCAAAGAGACAAAAAGTCTGAGTTAGGACCGATGGTCACTTCTAATAACAACAAGCATTAATCTCACTGGAGGTGAAGGTCAGGGTCCTGGCAGCTGCCTGACAGACAGTCCTGACCTGGGTTTAACTCTGGTGTGCCGCAGATTGATGGGCTGCTGTACCAGGCCTGCACTCTACCTTCATTGCATTATCTAAATCTAGTCCAGACCCTCCGAATGAGCCAACCTCATTCTGAGTAAAGACCCCGGAGCAGAGGAATGGATACAGTTACCGCTGCAGCAAGTATAAACACTACGCAACCGTGTTTTTATTGGAGGTCAAACCCCAGCAACTTCTCTGTGGTCACATGTCAAGGTTGAAATAAAGTACAGTGGTTTTTACCCAGAGCTTTGCAGCTGCGCTTGTCAGGTCGGAGCTCGTAGCCCTGGACACACCAGCACTGGAACCCCCCCTCCGTGTTGGTACAGCCCTGGCTGCAGTAGCCTTCTTCGGCACACTCGTCCACATCTGGAACGGAAGCAGAGGACAAGAGGGGAGGGACAGAGAGATACTGGCGTCAAACTCCTGCAGGGTTAACAATGATTTCAAGACACAGAGCATGTGCACTGAGGGGGCTGAAAGGTGAAAAACTCATTCGCACTTTTGGAACACTTCCTACGTCTCGTTACGCCCCTTAAATTCTAAATTAATTTCTTGACCTTGCAAAAACACTCGCAGAATGTGGAAACAAAGATTATCTCTCCATGAGATTCAAAATCCTGGCAATAAAACTTTAAACTCGTGGAACTAATCCCAGATTCAGGTCCACACCAAATTCTAATCAATAAATTCTCAGCCTAAAACTTAACTCTCCGGAAAGTTCATGGAAATATTTTTGGGAGATATCCTGCTGACATAAAGACAAACTGACTAACAGAAGGAACTCTCTCACACACACACACACACACACACACACACACACACACACAAGTACCCTGGCAGGCTTTGCCGTCGTCCATCAGTCGGTATCCAGTGTGACAGGTGCACTGGACCAGTCCTCTCACCATCTGACACTTCTGGGAGCAGCCTCCGTTATTCTGGTTACAGTTGCCCTCGCTGGAGCGCGGACCTGCATGCGGCGCGGAAACATTACAGGAACATAAACACAGCATGCTGATTCAGTATAAATACAACCACATGCTGTAAAAAAGTATGACTCATCTGGTGCAGAGCCTTGAAATATTTTAAGCAGCGAGGCCTGAGGGTGGTGATGTCGGGCAGCGTGGTGCAGGCTGAGATAGCTCAACAAACACAGGCCAGACTGCCATTAAATTACTTTGCAGACAGCTTGACCTTTCCTCGAGTGCCACCTAAATCTCACCTTGACAAACATTTTCATGCCTGCCACGAGAATTTCAATTAACATTCATTAAGTTTAATCAGTCTTAATGACTCAGACATTGCTATGGCAGTCTTGGCCCTTCAAAGTAAGACTCATGCATGCTCTAAGGGGAAGATAAAGGCTGAATTTAAAGACTTAACATCCAGATATACTATATCAACTCACGGCAGTCATGATGTGGGTGTTCGTCAGTCCCGTCTCCACAGTCGTTGACCTCATTGCACACCTTCCTCTGACCGATACAGCGTCCGTTCCCACACTGGAACTGATCAGGAGCACACGGGGGACTCTCTGTGGGAAGGTATGATTAAATATCCCGTGAGACAACAGACAACTGTCTTCACACTCTGCAGTCCCACACACAGATAGAACAATTATAGCATCAGCTCTTTATCTCCCACTCTGCTCTTCACTTAACAAATTGTTACTCATACATGACACGTTGCAGAGAAAAAAAAGTGGTAGCTTTGAGTACATCTCTATTAAATATGAGAGCTTAAGTGTTTTATATTTCCACTAACTTCCCCTTCCACATCAGGCCCACCACCTGAGTATATCGTTATATGTAACTGTTTATTAACCATTTATCTGAAAGTCTTTGAGCCGTGTTTCCACATGGCAGTTCAGTTCAGTTTGGTACACATTTTTTTCAGTTTCCACAGTGAAAAGTTGTGGATGGTACCAATGGAACTGTTCCGTACCGTCCCCATGTTTGGTCACCCCTCTGTTGGGGTACCTAGAACACAGATCTGGTACTAAAAGGTGGAGCTGTGAACACTACAGTCTGATTGGTCAGTAGAGGACGGTCACTCTGCTCAGGGCTGAGTTGTGTCTGGTTTTGAGGCTCATGTAACCACTGTTCATACTGTGGAGAGTTTTATTAGTAAACTGTAACTATAAAATGAAAGGATGTTTTGCTGCCTCTCACAGCAGCTGGAGTCTGAGAAAAAATAATTTAATTCACTGGGCCGACTGCCGGCGACTTTTAAGGTGGAACATTTACTTGTAATGTTACTCAATGCATGAGCTTATGATGTGAATCCATCAGCACACCTTAAATTTCAATATGACAACTTAGACAATTTAAAACTACAGTGAAGTCAAAGTCACTCTTCAATGACATACACTTTTAGTAATGAGTGGATCTTTAAGCATTTAATATTAATTTCGACCGGATCATGTGACCTGCACATATTCTAATCCTCAGTCGGAGGAAAAAAAAAGCGTCATGGAGCGTCGTTCCTGTCGGCTACAGTAACACTAAACCCCTGAGCTTGCCTGAGAAGGATTAAATGCACAAACCCGCTATTTTTAAATATCCCATGGAGAAAGAGTCTCACTGCAGCCTGTTCTATTTTGTTCTGAAAATGTGGGCGTGCAGCCTCGTTCTGTGGACGATAAACGAGGTGCAGACTTCCACCTGTGTCACAGGTGAAGAGCCAGGAAATACAGCAGGTGTTTGACCAAGCAGTGAGTGACAACAACTCCGCCCACATTTCAGGGTACTGTTTGTGGTGGAACCGCTAGGTGGACCTTGGGTCTAGGTACCATTTCTGAAGAGTCACTTTTGGTTCCAAAGGTACCATACTGAAAGTGTTTGGTGGAAACGGGGCAATGGAGACCTCTTAAGTGTGAGGACAAACAGGGAAAAGTATAAATGATGCAAATGGCATTTTGATTTGATGCAAGCGTGCAGCCATAAAAATGACATCATGGATTTTAATATTTCATTACATATAAATGAAGTGCTACGAATAAAAAACAAAGACATTTCAGAAAAAAAAACACTTGTTGTACTGAGTGAGAACAAATGTATATTATCTTTGAAGCTGTAAAGTTAAGGGAAATATCAGGGTTCAGGAGGTTTATGCAAAGTGATCTGGAACTCCTTTACCATCATGGCTCGGGTTATAGATGGATAGTATCCAAAAATAGAGTTAAATCTTTCCATCTCTCCCTCCTCTCGGCTGCCTGTTTATTGTTCAATTCTATCTCAACACACAGGCCTGTTTCTGTAGTTTGTCCACAGGTTGGTGTTTCCCCAGCGAAGGATCTGCCAAACTGATAAGTCTGTTGTTTGAAAGCAACTGTGTGTTTCGACCAAATAAAAGAAAGAAGGCTAAAGTGAGTTTGTGAGTAGAGGAGGGCTGTTCTGAGCCGTTGTCATGGCTACCATTGAAGCCGGTGTTATATTTAGCTTCTGAAAACAAGATAACAACTGCAGTCTTACCAGTTTTCTCACAGCCCTCTTCATCACTGCGGTCGGAGCAGTCAGGCTCGCCATCGCATCTCCATGACAACCGGACGCAGCGTCCAGTGCCGCAGCGGAACTGATCGGCTGTGCACATGGACGTGGCTGCAGGCAACACAAACACACAGAAACATACACGTTTTATCCTTTGGGTCTTAGATCAGGTGATTTCAGATATTCTGAGTGATCGTCTTGTTTTTCCATCAGCAGCATGAGGTCAGATAAAAGGCTGGGATTGAATATGAAGGAATATAAAAGTAGACATGCATATATTGAGCACATATTTATTCAGTTATTGTGATGAGAACAGCTACTCACTGCAGTTCTTCTCATCCGACTGGTCGTCACAGTCGAATTCGCCGTCACACCTCCAGCCGGCGTTGATGCACATCCCACTACTGCACATGAACTCAACTGATCTGCATGGCTGGTGGGAAGCTACACACACACACACACACACACACACACACACACACACACACACACACACACACACACACACAGAATGACATCAGAAACCACAGCAGGCAACACAGCTGTTATTTCACCACCTTTACAGCGAAAAACATCTTTATAACTTAAATCTGTAGCTCATCAGTGGTTTATAACTTCGGGGTGAAAACTTTCATGAGAGGTCACAACATCATTTTTAAATGCGCAACTTCTTTTAGGGGTGGTAAAAAAATATATAGTTTTTCTCTAAGTGTTTATTATCATGTAAAAAAAGCTAAACATGCTCGCATTGTTTTCAAAAAGCAGCGTTGAAAGAAAATTGCTGGTTAACAATTGAATAAAGATACAAGATGGAGGTCTCAACTGATCCTCTCAGTTCCTAGTAACAGAGACTCCAACCCATGTAGTACCCAAATTATATTCAGTCTGATTGGGTTGGATAATGTTCCGTTCTATCTGAATATATTTGTTAACACAATCAGTCAATCAAGTGGCAGCAACTCAATGTATATAGGCATGTAGACATGGTGAAGACGACCTGCTGAAGTTCAAACTGAGCATCAGAATGGGGAAGAAAGATGATCTAAGTGACTTTGAACGTGGCATGGTTGTTAGTGCCAGATGAGCTGGGAGTCTTTACTGGGATTTTCACACACAACCATCTCTAGGGTTTACAGAGGATGGTCCCAAAAAGAGAAAATATCCAGTGAGCCAAAATGCCTTGTTGATGCCAGAGGTCAGAGGAGAATGGCCAGACTGGTTCAAGATGACAGAAAGGCAACAGGAAGTCAAATAACCACTGGTTCCAACCAAGGTCTGCAGAAGACCATCTCTGAAGCAACAACACCTTGTCCAACCTTGAAGCAGATGGGCTACAGCAGCAGAAGACGTGGTGTGGGGGAGATTTTCTTAGTACCAACTGAGCATGGTTTAAACACCACAGCCTACCTGAGTATTGTTGCTGACCGTGTCCATCCGTTTATGACCACAGTGTACCCATCTTCCGATGGCTACTTCCAGCAGGATAACGCACCATGTCACAAAGCTCACATCATCTCAAACATGACAATGAGTTCACTGTACTCCAATGGCCTCCACAGTCACCAGGTCTCAGTCCAATAGAGCACCTTTGGGATGTGCTGGAACAGGAGATTCTCATCATGAGAGCAACTGTGTGATGTCATCATGTCAATATGGACCAAAATCTCTGACGAATGTTTCCAGCACCTTGTTGAATTTATGACACCAAGAATTAAGGCAGCTCTGAAGGCAAAAGGGGTCCAACCTGGTACTAGGAAGGTGTACGGATCAGCTTTGATCACTTGGTCTCAGGAGTAAAAGTTTGAACCATGAAGTGACAGAAAAAGAATGATGTGTTGCTGCCATTATAAACTGTGGCTGCTTGTTGACAGATGTAGCACTGTGCTGCTGCCAGTGTTGGTCGTCTCACTGTCCGGGTCTGTTTGGGTCAACCATGTGTTGGATCAGGTCTAATTATCCTAGGGGCTATTTCAGATCGCGTCTTTCTTTTTTTTACGATAATTTATGCCCATGGGAATCGGGTGGGTTTTAGATCTGACCACTGATGTTTTATTGTCATATGAACAGAATACAAGTAACTTTTTATGCTCTCCATAAAAAGTGAAAAAGACAAGTGCAAAAACGCAAAGTAACAGCATTTCATACCAGTGATATTTCCTTCCCCATAAGCATTAATTGCTTATGTTTATTTTGGCTGCCTTATGATCATCCCTGACTAGAGATCATAGCCGTCCCACCTTTAAATCTCCCACCACATCTCAACATGTGATCAGATCAAAGTGAAGCTCAACCTGGCAGCAGATGAGGACGGAGGTGGACGAGAAGATTAAAGCTGAATCAAACATAAGCATCTTAAATCCCAGCAAGTGTGTATGTGCGTGTGTTCTTTTGACATGTTTCCTCCTGACGGCACGAGTCGGCTCCCATCAAAGCCACAGTGGGCGTGAGATAAGGGAGGAACAAAATGACAAACGAGGGAATGCAGGGGGAAGAAAGGCATGGAAAAAAACAGACAGAGATGTTGCAGAGCTTCAAGCATCCCCGCGCAGGCTTATCAGCTGGGCAAGAGACAGAGATGATCAAAAAAGCAAAACAGCAGGTGGCTCTCCCACAGAGAGAGACTTATAGGTCACAAGAATCAGCGTGGGATGCCGACGAACACACTGACGCCCACACACACTCAAATATGATTCGTCCACCCTTCATCTCACTCCTTGTCTTTCTCTCTCCCTCCCTCACACATACACACACACACACACACCAACGATGCTCTTTCATCTGCTCAGCTATGCAGCCGAAAGCAGTATCAGTGTTCGCAAGCGGTAACAAGGCGTGCAAGTGTGAGTGTTTTGGGATGTGTGTGTGTGTGTGTGTGTGTGCATTCACATAAGGGGGAGGGAGGGAGTGAGAGAGGCTTCTTCTCTAACAAAGCGCCCTTCATGTGTCTGGAGAGTCGATGCCAAGGAATGCTGTCTGAGGATGGGCCGTCTTATGCCTCTGAGGAATGCCTCCTCTGTGTGTGTGAGCGTGTGTGTGTGTCCACAAACTATCTGTATGTTTCAGAAGACGTCTTCAGACTTTTTGAAATGAAATTTAGAGAATTTTATGCACTAAAAAAAGTGAACACTAAGCAAATTCTGGTCACAAATAACACTGAATATGAAAAAAATAAGAATAAATGGGATGTTTCAGAGCGCAGGACAGCAGGAAATGACCAGTTAGGGAACATGAGATCCAGCTGGTTTCAGTACATGAGACAGGAAGTGGATTGATCTATTAACCTTGTTGGTGTTTAATACAACATGCGGCGCAAAGAGTCCTGTCATTACTGAGTGCAGAAGTCACCAACAGGATTTTGTGTGCATTCTTAAATCTTTATCATGTGAGACTTTTCAAAGACACACGCAAACCAACCGTGTGTGTCTTCCGCAATACCTGATTTATCTGGATCTGATATGTGCACCAGCTTTTGTTTTTATACTGCAAAGTTATTTTAAGTATTTCCAGGACCTTCCTCCTGTCTGTTTTTTAACTTTTTAAAAGCTTTGATGCCAGCTCAACTTTCCAAAAGAGAAATGTTAAACACTTCAGAAGTGAGGCAGCAATTAAAAAACCTGGGTGTGGGAGGATACGAGGGAGAAACAGAGAGCAGCTCAGTCTGCTAACATGACCAAATGATATTACGAAACCTTGAAGCTGTGCTTATCGCGCTGCAGATAAACACATCAAAGGGGGAACCCACTGTGCATGAGTGTGTGTGTGTGTGTGTGTGTGTGTGAGAGAGAGGGGGATGTGGTGGGTGGTTATAGACAATGAGCGCATGAAACAAACGTGAGAAATCAGAGAGGAGAGAATGAGGAGGGAGATGCTGAGAGATTTGTCAGCAGCAGGCAGCGTCTCTGGAGTGAGGAGCGCGAAACATGATAGTCTGTGTTAATCAGGACCATGGCTTCACACTGTGTGTGTGTGTGTGTGTGTGTGTGTGTGTGTGTGTGTGTGTGTGTGTGTGAGATACAGTGACAGAAAAGATCTAACAGACAGAATGTTTTCCAGTTCTGACAGATGCTGTGGAGCAGCTGTTCCTCAGCTCAGCCTGACGTCAACCGGTTTTTATAACATGAAATCGACACTGAACATTATGATGTTTTTCCGATGTGTTTCTGTACGCTATCGCATATTTATGAATAAAGGGGTAAAGTTCTTAAAAAAAGTTTTAACCACCAAAAAGTAGGGCTTCATGATGACTGCGTCGGTGTCATTTGACCAGATTTGAAGCTGAACTGGCTTCTCAAATATGAAAATTTTAGTTTTTCTGCCAATTTCACCTGAATTTTATTGAGTTTTTGATGTGCAGGCCGGTCTAATCAAGCAATTTGACAATATCCTTAAGCTCAAAGAAACTGTGTTGGGCATTCAAATGAATGAATGAATCAGTGAATTGTAGAAATGATCAACAGGATAATCAAAATCGATTCAGTCAGTGCCCACTTGCTCAATCGGTGCAACCCACAGATGTATAAAGAGAACTGGACACAGCGTTGGAGGCAGGACCTCGTTCATCTCTACAAAAGTTGCTCAGTGGCACATGAAGCCAAAAACATTCAATGGCCCCACATAAAATGACCCAGATGATCAGTGCTGCTTCCACATTATTGCGCCCATAGAGCAGGTGCACTAGGCCGAGCTGGCTACTTCTGTTTTAGCGCTCTGCTAACGTGAATGGGAATGAAATGATTTAATCGTATGGCTCTTTTAGACTTAACAAATCTTATCAGACCATATGGATCAAATCCTGAAAGGAAAACTCGTCATTTTGCAGAGGGTGTGGTGTTCAAAAAAACATATCCACTGATTTACAGATGTCTCTTTAATAATGTAAGTCTATGGGGAAAAGTTTTCCTGGGCCCAATGGCATCACGTGACACACCCAGGAAGTTGTAATTCCACAGTTTGACCACTAGAAAAACTGGCTCCAAAGCATGGCGCACTTCCTGGTGGCCTGATGCAACCACTTAAAATAATTAATGCCTAAACTTCCCGTTCAGATAAGCCCATAATGCACTCTTAAACTACAGATGAACCTCTTCTGCAAGCTGCAGGACATGAGGATGACTCGCTGTTTGGGGACATGTGTGCAGCAGTGCCATTGGAGTGTGTGGCTGGAAAGAGTGAAGAAGAAAAGGAGAAGGGCTGGAGAGAGGAAAGACAGTTGCCAGAAGGAGAAAAGAAACTTAACTCTCATCTAACGGCAACACAGAGGACTGGTCTCCCAGAGGAGCTTCTTCTCCTGCTCAAGACGCTGTTTAGTGAGAGCCAAGAGCGCTGCCATGGATCATAGAGAGTACGTGCAGCCGCTCGCTGTGAGCTTTACACCAGCAGGACAGGCTGGATCAGTCGCTCCGCTGTAACAATGGGTATTGTTTTCTTCTTGGACTTCCACCAAGTTTGCATCTTAGATCTTCAAATTGAGGACGTTTTGTGCAGGGATATTTGCCAAATGTTTCCTCTTTTAAGAGTTTGTGATGTAGACTGTATTTAGAAATAGATTTAAGGTTTTACCATGTACACGTAAACTGAAATATCATGCACTATACTAATATATAGGTCATAACTGTGGATTCCTTTGAGGTTTGAAGTTAACAAACACCCGAAGTCAGTTCATAAGTTTGCAAGTGTGTTTGTGCGTGCTTACAGCAGTCCGACTCATCTGACCAGTCTCCGCAGTCGTCGTCTCCGTCACAGTGGTAAATGTCCAGGATACAGCGGCCGTATGCACACTGGAACTCCTCCACACTGCAGGTGGCTGCCATCACATCTGAGGCTGCACACACACACACACACACACACACACACACACACACACACATACACATACATGTTAAACAGATGCTGGGAAAGATGGTGCGGCAGCTGGCTGTCTGAGGCTCTTTGAAGCTTCCACTCTCCTCTGCAGAGTCTGTCAGAAACTATACATGAAATGAAGGAAGCTCGGCTCTCTATTAAGACAGTGAACATGTTTACATGCTCTGCAGTAAATTGATTACTAGAAGATCTTAGTTTACATGCAGCTGGTCAGTAATCAGATTTGTCCTCTTCTTGAGGCCACAGTTTTGATTCATGATACTGCAGCCGGGAGGCAACACACTCTCTTGTGATGTTTGAATTTCACAAATTGCGTACTGTTCAGATGTGGAAACTTATTTCAGCCTGCCTTTGGATTATTTTGGATACGAGGACGAGCAGGTGCTGTGAGTAATGGGTTTTCTTTTCATCCTGCCGCTGCTGCTCCAGAGATAAGTTCCCCGTTTGATACATTTGCTCTGTTATGAAACCTCCATTAAAAACACAGTTAAAAAAAATAAAAAATGAGCAACGTTAACTGGATTATTTTACACAGATTCAGGAAACTGAGCTTCTCACTTCTCATTAACATGACAAGACAACAAAACTAGTACGTTATGTGAACACAGTAATTGATGGGCTGTCAGGCTTCTCATGAACAACACATTTTGGTTGCTTTAGTTTTTAGCTGTAGCCGATTATTTCTCTGAATTGACCCAATTATATAATGACACTCCTACATCAACACTCAGCTGAAAATCTTTATAGGAAGACAACACAATAAACAATAACTTGCGGAGAAAGACATTGAACCCCTTCATTAAACCATTATTTTACACTCGTGCAGTCTCATGACAGCATAAACATTTATTAAAGGAGCTCAACATCCAAAGCAAATCAATGATTCACAGTCTGGTATGGGATTGTCTGCACTCGGCTCTCAATATGGAGGTGGCTGAGCCAACCGCTAGCAGCTAACGATGCTAATAGCGTGAATAGTGCTTACAGTGTACTTCACTCTCTGCTCAGGACGCCATTACTCCACTGTGTCTTTCAATAGCAAAGAGCTGCCTGCTATTATATTAACGTTCTGAATGTTGCAAAGCCTCCTGAGACCCTGTGTTGTCATATGAGGACATCAAATTTTGGGTTTACTTGAGCTAATACTTCATTCTGCTTAACTTAGACCTGTTGTCCTCCTTCGTGGACACATTTTTGTGCCACCTATTGGTAGTAAGAGCACAGTACACCAATCCATGTAAAAACAAGGTGGCAGCCATCTCTGCTAAGTCAGTCTGCAGCTGATCCCGACACTAAAGACACAAAATCTAATAACATTTTATGGTTGAAACTTGTTTATTTATGATTAATAATGTTTATAGTTTGATTTGCCAACATTTTTTTGCAACAGCAACAAGCTAAGACACTGTTTATTAGGAAGTACTCTTTTGAAAACACTGGAACTTAATTATCATTGACAAAGTTGATTTTTTTTATATACTTATTGGGTCCTAGTGATCCCAAATAGCTAGGAAAAATCAAAAATGCATACCAAACAAAAGTTCAGGTCTCAGGAGGATAGTGCTCCTGTGTGTAGCTGCTTTACCCTGAGAAGCATTAAGCCCTGTTTCTTCCTGTGTCTTTCTTAAACGCACACAAATACCCAGAGTAACTTACGGCAGTTTTCCTCATCTGATCCGTCCTTACAGTCCGTGTCTCCATCACAGTACCAGTGTTCAGCGATACAGCTGCCATCTGTGCAGCGGAACTCTTTGTCCGAGCATTTCCGCATGTCTGGTCAGAAATAAACAAACGAACCTCAGGTCATATTGATAAGACTGTGGGGATGAAGACGTGCTTGCATGATGATGTTCGTGTGTGTATGTGTGTAGATATGTGTACCTACCACACTGTTCGTCACTGTTGTCCCCACAGTCGTTGTCGCCATCGCAGTGCCAGAGGCTGCGAATACAGTAGCCATTCTGGCAGTGAAACTCGTCCTCTTCGCACTCTCTGGGAGCTGCAGAGAGAAGAGGAAAGAGGGAGGTTTCAGTGGATGAGTAATGAGGATACAACAAAAGCAAAGAGCCGATACTGTACAACTGTGTGATAAGAGGAAGCCGTCCCTGAGCACTGCTGACTTTATATCTACAGCTGCACCGACACCAGGGCAACTGTGGCCTTTTATGTCAGGCTCACAGCGGGGGAGAAGTAAGTGAGATTTTTCTCTTTGTAAACAGGCTGAAGTCTCCTGAGGCTGCAGGTCTACGGCTCAAAGACCTACAGAGCGAACACATGACATTCGATCAACAGCTACTGAAACTCAGTGAGGAGGAGGCCTGGAGAAAGTCATACTGAGTGTGTGTACGGTCACTGACTGTTCCCAGTAAAACATTTGCTTTAATTGCTGTCTAATTTTACTCAGACAGCACTTTGCCAAGATGTGTAACAAGTGCTGTACACACAAAACCAAACCACCTTAATGGCTGCCTGTAAAAAAAAACAACCAGTGATTTGTCCTTGAGGAAACACAAAGGTTGTGGTCAGCTTGAATTAATGTTGGTTACAGTAAATACCAACAGTGACAAGCTTCCATGGAAAAAAGAATTAAACGCCCAAAGAAATATGGCAAACCAAAAGTTAAGCATAGCCCTCATCTCCATTGTCCATCTGTGTGCTCAGTGTTTTCCAATCACGTGTAGTTTTACCGAAATACATGTTAATACACTGCATCTCTTTGTTGGTCAGAATAAGTTTACAGTTCTACTGTGAAGGTGTCAGTGGGCTACAACCGCAGAGCCTGTCAGAGGGTCAAACAGTGTCTAAAACCTCCTCCCACACCTTTAAGATGCTGGAATTAGAAGAGCTGCATTCTGCAACTTTCTGAAAATGACAATCAGACATTCACACACAGTTTACAAAGCGATGAGCCAAGTCTTGAGAAAGTAGGAAGGGTTTGAACTCTTCTTTCAAGCTCTCTTTTATTTTTCACACAATGACTTCTCTCTTCTTCCATGTGAACAACCAAGTGCAATGAGCCTGTCTGTAGAGACTGTTCAAAAATGTGCACTATTATCCCCATTTTCAAACTTCTATTACCTCTGGACTTTTCTCGGGTGGCTGACTTTATACTTAATTTTGAGCATAGTGACACCTTAAAATAGGAAAGTATGCTGTCACAGCTCTAAAAGAACAAGTTTGAGAGATCTAGACCAAAAAAAAGTCTGTAATCTGCTGTTATTTGTAAAAGATGTGGCTGTCTAGAAAGTATCGTACACATAATATTCTCTATCCCAGTGGTTCCCAACTGGTGGGTCCTGTATCCATTCTGATTGGACTGCAAGGGACTCGCAAAGGTGTCACACACTTTATTTTGAAGTACAGTGAATTTCCAGCACTTTGACAGAGACAGCTAACTAGCTCAATGACACGACCAAATGCAAGTATGTTGAATACACTGAACTTTGTGGAGCTTGAAGAAATTACTAAAGAGAAATCTGGACCCCATGGCTGGACCAGTTTCACTGCTCTATCTTATCATGCACAAGTTAAATTTTGTCTGTTTCAAGAGGAGGTGGATGTCCCACCAATGGTTGGCTTCTGGCATCACAATCTCTATAATCAGATTTGCAGAGGTTAGCAAGGGTTTTGGTATCAAAAGTGTTCTAGTCTGAGTAGTATTGACGAATCATGTTTGAGCTGCAGGTAAGCAGTCCATGTGGGGAGCAACACAGGTAGAACCCAATGGTCGACATGCAATCTTGAAACCCTTGGCGAATGTGCGACAACAATTTAGCTTTTTATTGGATTTTCTTGTCTGCAAATATAGGATGATATCTGTTTTTAGGGATTAGCCGAATTAACCAGTGCAAGGAATTGGAAGTCTTGGCCAAGGTATCCACTTGCTACACTGGAACCTTTATCACCATCAAACAGATAGCCAGTGAGTTACCAGATTGCTGGTATTCTACCATCCAGACAGCAACGGTGTTAATGGTGCAGAAAAGTGTCGTTTTATTAACTTCACCAGCAGGACTGAGCAAAAACATACAAGCTGTAGCAGCACCGGGCGCACACACACACATATACATGCTTTTACTTGAACATGGTTCAGACTGAACAACGGCTTTCTTTCCAGGTCCTATTTGGGTTGCAGACAGGTTATGCTGCCACCTACTGGTGAGCTCAACAAGGTGTATCACAAATGTTAGCAAATTATTAAACATAGCAACTTCTTAAAGAAATGTTTAAGTATAGGAAATGGGTACGACCACGACCACGGATATTAAAACCAGCTGAAAGAAACATGCAAGAGGAACACCACTCTTCTTTGCATGCCTCCATCCACCAGGTTTTTACATTAAATGTTGCATTTACGTGTATAACGTGCAACATAGACAGGTCCAAGCTTTTCTGCTCAAAAGTCATTTTCATTAATCAATAAGCTAAATAAAAAAAGATTTCTTAATGATTCCACAGTTCTTCCAAATTCAAACCAGCTGAATTTGGGCCTGGTTTCATCCATCAAAGCTGAGCACTGCAGCTCCTTTTATGTCTTAATTAAATATACTGACTGCTGCAAGTCAGTAAATGTTGTTTCAGGCTACAGTTCACCTTGAAACTGAAGATAAGAGACACATTTGTCATTCATACCAACAGCTGTGACGGTGCAGTCAGACAGAAGTCACTCCCTCCAGTGAACTTTCAGCACTGTGACATTGACAGTGTTTCAGTTTCAAACCCTTTCATTTATCCAAACAACTCCTCCGCCTTGCCTCTTTAATCACACCTCCATTGATAAAAGACTGAATGGATTTTCAAAACACCGCCTCTACTGTTACCACCGCAAATCGATGGCAAAACCCAGCCATGCTCGCCTGGGGCCGAGTAAACAGGTTCGTCAAGGAGAACCAATGATGGATGGCCCCTGGCAGGAGGTAATCTATAATTTATCACTGCCGTGTGTGAGTGTCAGACAGCTGAGACAAACAGAGAGAGATAAGGAGAGACAGAAACAGAAGGATGCCCACAGAACAGAGGCGCAGGCGAAGACAAAGATGAAGCTTTTCTTTATCTCTGAGAGATTTTTCATCTTTTCTCAGGTGTGTTGCATCACAGCACGAGTCAAGGCTGCTGGAGACACACTTCACTGCAGAGACATGACATGACGTGAGGCCCCAGAGCAGGACTCCAGACTGACAGTTTCAAATCGTAGCAGTGGGGCACCCTACTGAACATTTTAGGGGCGCCAGCACAAATTCTAGGAGAACCACTTGAACCAACATGCAAGGCAACACATTCATATTTTTCTATCTTTACTGCAATAATGATACATGACAGACAATTTGCAGAAATAACAATGATAATGTTTTGTTTTATTTTAAAAGAAAAAGTCACACTCTTAGCTACTTTGCTCTGATGCTTGCTGGTGCTCGCAGCTGAACATGATTATACCTGGAGTATTTACAAATGTAGATATTTTAAGGTGCACAAGAAAAAGAAGAAGATAAACTTTATTAATCCCTGAGGGGAAATTCAATTTTTCTGTCTTGTCATTTACACGCAGGCCTGAGATACACACGCATGCACAAACAGGACGTATGCATGCCTTGGACAGGCACCCTGAGCAGTTGGGGGTTCAGCACCTTGCTCAAAGTGCGCCTTGGCAGCACCCAGGAGGTACTGGCACCTCTTCACGCTCCATATTTGTTCCGAACACGGATTTGAAACCACACCAAGCCCCTGTGGACTTAGCTACTGCCACCCCACTGAGCCACTGCCGGCAAATGCGTAACTTATATTTTGCCAATTTTCCAAAGTGATACAGCAAAACTGCTTGATTTTGAGTCTGTATGTGATCGGAGTCATCCTTAATTTGATTATAGTAATTGTCAAGATTTTTTTCCAGCAACCCAAAATCAAACAATTAAGTTATTTCCCTCACAATTTAGAAGGATTTTGTAATGTAGAAGGGACACAGGAAACATGTTTTATACTTCCTGTGAATGTACTCCAATTAATCTTATTTTCTGATATGTAATTTGTACTTACTCTGTTAATACCTAATTTTGAAAAGTACACATTGATCGCGGGTCGCTTCAATGCATTCACTATAAAGGTCAGAATACAGGTACTTTAAATTCTAAAGGTGGCTGTTTGACTACAGAGAAGCAAGTGACTGCTGGCTTGATGCAGAAACATCAGACCTGCACAGGAGGATTTGATCCAGCTTGGCTGACCGACAAAAGGACTGCCGCCAGTCGCATTTTCCGATGTCAAACCAGACGATACAAAAGTTGGAGAGACACAGGCAGAGCAAAGCAGAGTCTCGGCAAGAAGAGCAGATGGAGCAATGTCACGGGCAAAGCAAAACACACACACACACACACACACACACACACACACACCAGTTCTCACTCTCTTCCGGTGTTTCACATGACACACATAATGATTTAAGAGGTCGCACTGGTGCTCCATGTCAAAGTAACACTCTCTCCAAAAATGGTACTGTAGACCTCTGTGGATGATGGGTATCTCTGTATGACCATAAAGAAACTTTCGTTACCTCGCGTAGGACTTAATTTTAAAATGTTTTGACTCTGTATATTTTATATTTCATATGAGTAGATTAAAAAATAAAGATTCCACCACAAAATAATTTACAAACGGTTGTAAAGACTAAATCTAACTAAAAAAGAATCTCTTCAAGCTACGATCAAAAGGTTGTTGTCATTTCTTCTTGAAAACAACCTGACTGATGCTGGATTTTTGAGGTCGATATCAATAATGATGTTTAAGTGTTGAAAAATTCAGTGAAATATTGGCCGATATTTGATTTTTCACATAATCCCATCGCATGATCAGACATTTTTTAGAGCTGTGACCAGGCTATGTTCTGAACGAGACAGCTGCTCCCTGCTTTTTGAACTAGTAAGTAGTCATTGTGGAATTATGCCATTAACCCCAAATACATCTTTTTTGTTTTGCAATTTCTTGTTACTAAATCGGGCAACATACTTA